AGCGACTTAGAACATAAGCCTGTACTTGGTAAATGAGTTACATTAATTTTCACACATTTCTAAATGGATTACATAAGTTTTAACAACAATATCGGTAATCAGATTACAACCTGACTTTAAAAAGTATATTACAAATTTTTCAAAAGGGGTTAATATGGTAATCGAATAAATTTTGATGAACATATGTCCTATTTTTTCTGTAAAACAATAGTCACTTCTCTAGATAGTTACAACAAAACTTGAAAATTACACAGCAAAATACAATCAGTACTCCATACATACATATTTATATGTATATTTTTATTCTGAAAATCAGGTCATGAAACCCACTGATGAAGATATTCAAAGACGTTGCAGCTTGAATGCTATAGGTGATCTGCTGGTGAGCTAATTAAGTGAAACAAAGTTAAATTCCTACTAACATTCATAGTATAGTAATAAAAAGAAATACATAAAGTTATTATAAAACGCACACCTACAGTAATATTTGTATACGATGTTGTAAATTTTAGTTACTGTACATATAAACGCATATATATATATATATATATATATATATATATATATATATATATTGATTTTCTCTAATTTCCTTCAAATATCGTTATTATTTTCTTGTTCATTTACTTAACGGTCAATAATAATCACTAATAATATTCCTTTCTATTGATTTCGAACATTTTCATTTTCCCAACTAGCTGTCTAATATATGTTTTGCAATCATTATTCTTTCACACTTCTTTTCAATTTAGCATGGTTTATTTAACTAAAATAATAATTGTTTGTGTATACGGTATGCGATCGTGAGACAAGTTGACCAAAATCCATTTGTTTAGATTAACTTTTTTGCAATTCCATTTTATAAATATCAGAATATTAAAAAACAAAAAATCCATAATAAATCCAGAGTATTAGTTCACTGAACTCAACTGAATCTAAATCCACTAGTTTACGTATTCAAATTCAATAAATTTGCTGCAACGTGTGAGTTTTTGTCTCACTCTCAACTTGACTGACTAAACCGGTTGTAGCTTCTTTATTAGACCTTCAAAAATCACATAATATTACTAAATACATTGGTTGTAGAAATCTTTAGGTATCACTAGAAAGGGTTGACTTGGTAATTTCAAATGACATGAGGATTGGATGGACTGTTATAAATAAAAATAATATATTTTTAATATCCTAATCAGTACAAAAATTAAATTTTCTGACGTTTCGCGACTCAGTGCAATCTATTTCTTAAAAGTCAAATTAACCCAAGTTTAAAAAGTATGAAGGAACAAAGCACAAATATTTGGTACTATCAATCAAAAATCAGGTCCGACCCAGTCAATGTCATATCACTCCGGTTGAGGCGATTTATATGACTATGAACTGTTTCTTGATTAATCTTCTAAATAGAACTTGTTTGCTGGGTAAATCAAGAACTATATCCTGTAAGACCAAACGTATTGAGATAATTAACATGAGTAACATTCAGCATAACAAATTATCACTTAGTTTTATTGTAATACAGTATGTCATGACTGACAAAATTTAACTCATACAATTAATCATATTAATTACTGCGCTGATGCAATGAAGTAATAAATGAGGTTAATACTAATAAACTAAGTAGGATGTCTGATATGCCTATTTATAAACAGTTTAGTGATGATTCTTAACTCAACAATTAAACACATATAGATAAAAGAGTACTTAAATCGTTCAAACAAAGAGATGGGGTTTTCACTCTATTGTTGTGCTTTAGGATTTTAGAAGTCGCATTTTTCCACCAAAAAATTATGACTGTTTCAAAATCTACGGTACCAGCTTAGTGTAAGTAAATAGTTAGCATATGTGATACCATATCAACTCCTAATTATTACACTAGGCAAAGCCAGACTGTTAAACTTGTCTATTACTTACTTATTAGTTAACAGAACAACTAAATACTAAACAATTTAAAAGAGTCCCATACACTACTGCTCACTGTATATAAGTAGTTAAATTTCAATGTTAGATTATGACATCAATCCATTTCTATTAAACAATTCTAAGTGCTTATGTTTTTCTTTACATTTTGTTTTTAACTTCTAATTAGGTATCAACATTCAAGAAAGTTTTGTGAAACATTTACTAAATTAAAAGAAGACGCTTTTTATCAAAATTATAATGAATAGTACTGTTATTATTGTTTTATTATCAGATTTATATTTATGTTCATTATTTTGACGTGTATTCAACTTCACATTTAACTCCATGTTAACTAGTTATGTAAAAAAAAAAATAATAATAATAAAAGAAAATGATTCAATGTTTAATAATCTTCCAGTAAACTTTCTTTTATTGTCTATTTAATAAATTGTAAAAATTTGAATTCAGTAACTGGAAAGAAATAATGTTCCGTATAACATATTTTTGTTTTCTTTAAAAAGTAAGTGAACTTTTTTCAAATATTCTTAAGCATTCAAAAATGTTACACTTAAATTTTGGAAAAAATAAATCTATGTGAGACAAATATTTCTCTCTGTTTTTTTAGGTAACACATCTTTATATGAAAAAAAATTTGTTTGATGTTTAAAATTTAAGGATCTCCAGTTATGAAGTCGTTAGTGTACAACTTAAATGTTCAGTTAAAGTATCAGAATAATTTGTTTAATTACAATAAAGAAATGTTCAGGGTTACGGTAGATCTGGCAGCGATGACTAATATTAGTATTAGGAAGAAGAACAAAAAGAAGGAAAAGCCTAACCGTACGAAAATGATTTCTATCATATAATTCATCCATTTTTGTCTCTCAGCTTATTTATTTCAAACAGGCAAGGATAATGTAGATAAATAAGCATAGATCTGCTTATATATTTATAAGAATTTCATACGAATGAAAGAAATCTATTGGCATTATCTGGATTTATATAACATAACGAATATAATCACAATGACACACAAAAGAAGCGCATAAGTTTTGCACTTTCGTCAATTTACAGAATAATTTGTCGTGTGGATTTATGATAACGACTGTAAATTTAAATTATTGTTTATTACATCGCAAACGTATAAAGCTGCTTCAAGTTCATAACAAACCAGGAAGCGCTGGATATTTGTTTCGCTATAACGTAAACGTATGCAATTCCACATAGTTCATTGGACTTACGTTCTCTGGGACAGCGTGGAAGTTTATTATCACCAACCCGGAATCTAGTGTCCACATTTTTTAAATCAAACAACTTGTGACCTTAAGTTAAAATATTCGATGAATAACGGCCTCATTCACAACTTTCTTGACACAAATGGTCAAACATAAGATTAGAATTTTGGGAAATTTAAAGTAATTACTAGTATTTATACGTAGCATTTTCCCGAATGCGAATAGTATAACTCTGAAACGACCAGTGCTAACAAAATATTTGAAAATACGCTTGTACTATGAATTTATACCAAACGTGAATTAGCAGATTGTGAAGAGCAGACTATAATGAGGGAGATAACAAATTACTAAACGAAAAATCCAGCTTTTTTTCATATCTTTGAATGGGTATGATTTCAAGTCATAATATAAATAGTTCATTTGAAAATTACGTAACACAAGCACTTAATTTATTCGCTTCTGACAATTGAGGGGTGCAAAGATTACTCCAGTATTGATAATGAAACAAATTTGTCAGCTCAGAACCATCGTACCACTTAGAACACTGCACACATACTAAAAGTTAACAATAAACACATCCTTGGCGAGAGATACATGGCTAGTTAAAAAAGGTACCAAGATAAAGTGGTCACTCTGTTTTGTTTACCGAGACTTGTAAGCCAGCATGCGTTGATAATATAATTGCTCTGAATTAAAATTCTACGATTTTAACTTGATGTTAAGATCTAAGTTCCTTCAAGAAATAAACCTTTGGTGAGGAGAATTCCAGTGTTGATTTTGCAAATTGATTTTCTCATACATATATTCAAATTAATTGCACATTTATCTTAAAATTTATATGACTTTTTAACTTGTCATAATTGCCAAAATTAGTGTGACACATTTCTCCTATTTCTGATTAAATCTTATCACATTTTCTTAGTATTCAGAACACGAATGATGTGAAATTTACCATTTAAAATTATAACACAAACTCAAACATGATTTCGTAAGCTTGCCGTAATATACTGTGTGCCATAACAGTGTATAGGAATGAATACCCGTAGAGATTGTAGAAGTTATGAACAATTGTTAGCGCAGATATTCTTAGTTTTTGAATTTGCTATAGAAGTTCTACGATCAACAAATTTTAATGAGAGGAATTGTACTACTTTAATTATTGTCAGTAGCCTGGTAGTATTGATTTAGATCCCACATGAATAGCTAGCAGACATTAATCCACATTCTAAGCTTATATGAGAAGACTTCTAAGCCTTAACTGACAGACTGAAGGTAATTTCATGAACCACTTAGAATAATTCTAAAAAAAAAAGTATACACAATTTCCCGATATCTGCTTTATTGGATTTTTTTAAGAATGATAGGTTTATGAGATAATGTTAACTTTGGTACAATATCAAATTATCAGGATAAATTGCTCATTATTATAGCAAGTACCTACTTAACATACATTCGAAATGTATCCTGAAAATGCTTTTAGTAGTCAGTATCTTCGACTCGTATTCAATCATCAGTTTTCTACCAGTTCAGCTGTAATACCCATTTTCATTCATAGAAAGTATTAATGAGATAATCTGGTCTTGATATTGTTAAATCATAAAATAGCATTTTAACTGCATGATTTCGTTCAAAACAAGATTTGATTTGTTAGTTGTGTCACGAATGCGGAACGTGATCACTCTGAAGACAACTGCGATACCATATACACCAACTCTACTCGCTGTTACATCCTCTACTTGATTATGGTAGAATACGATATACAACTACCGGCACTTGAACGTGTAGAACCCCACAGCCGCAAATCAGAGGACAAGATGCAAAGCAAGTGATATTCGGTAAGAATCAAAAATGTACAAAAACATGAGTATGTATAATTATTAGGGTTGGCTATGACATTATTATAATTCAGCCAATCAGCAAGGTGGTAATTTATACTACCGTCTAATAGTAGCATGTCACGTTGATAATCTAGAAAGCTCTGATTGGATGGAAACACTTCGGCTTCTTTAGAGCCTCTGGAGGCCTCATCGTGCTTCTCAAAGACGTCTCAACAAACGCCTCTACTCCTCTAGCCACTACAAACGAATAAACTTGTTAAGATTTATTGGACAAGACCAAAAAAGATTCAGCTTACGTTCAAGCCAATTCGATGATTACTAACTACCAAGATTTATTAACTGAATGGTTGTTACTAAATACAAAATCATAGTGAGATAACCAATATAAGAGAAATGTGTTGAGAACAAAGTAACTAAAAACAACTAATAAACAATGATCATAAGGATGTCTCGTAAATCAATATGAGGACTAAAAATTGATCTTCGTTCTCGTTTGTTGTATTTGAAAGTATTATCACCAACGGGTTGCACAAACAACTTTAATCAATTTACAATGATATTGAAGCCATCCATCACGAAGATTGATTTCCATAAAAACTAAAGGTATCCTTGTATATTTGTTATATATTGGGCCGCCGATTAGAGGGCGGTGAATTATTGATCGGACCAAGGATGCGTAAAACACGTGCGAGCAGCCTAGAGTTCTGATTGGTCCTGCTTTCCGCCTAGCCCAGCCAGTTAAGTCCAGAACGACAATCTCAGCCTCTGCAATATGAATCATTATATTTCAAAAATACTGAGTTTATATACCAATCAAACAGACCACAACGTAGCATAAAATAGAAAATAACATCCGTACAAAATTTGGCCAAATGTGGCTGTGAATGTGAGAGGTAGTAATTAATAGACAGGGCATAATTCAAGAATGGTAAAACGTATAATAATGGTTCATAGGTCAAAATAAAGCTTATAATAGGAGGGTCATGAATATGAATAGTTTAGTTATACAATAAAAATATACGTTTAGTATTGGTCTACAAATGGGTCCCAAAATTACCAATCATTATTCTTGTCGAGACATAACAATATTCCAGCTAATTTAATAAACGTACATTTTAGTATTGAATTTTACGTAATTGTATGGATGACACCATATATGTTATCTGATATAATCCAAAAGTATAGTCATTTATCCTTCCAACTGAAAGATTATTTTAAATTTCAAGAGAAAGATCAACCCTGGAGTGTAGATGAAGCTAGCTGACGAGTCTCAGTAACGATGAGACGTGTTCCCTTCATCCCACTGCTAGCCATAATCCAAATACACCAAGATCTCTGAATCTTACATTGCTTTAAGTTCTCAAGTGTTTCGTAAAATTTTTCTCGTTGGATATAATTCAACCGTTAATAAACGTTTCTCATAAAAAATATTTTTAGTTACTGACAACGCGCAATATCATCTAGGAATTGCTTCATAAATTAATTGAAATGTTTAGTAATCAATAAACATATAGAGTATATATTTTTCAGTAAAATTCAGTTCGGAATAAAATGTCGCTAAATATAAAACTTCCACTAGAAACTGACATCAACCGAAAAAATCCAGGGAGTATTGAATACTTGAGTTTTATCGCCTGCGACCACTCACACCATTGAATCCATAACTGTCAAGTGCCGCGACGAGGATGATGATACTAACCGATTAAATCCCAAACCAACAGTCTGTATTTCAAACTGTGAATCCGCGAGAGAGCATGTGATTCTCAGTTCATTGTGAGAATGGGGCAACTAGACAAGCCTCAATTAGTGTGATCCACCTAACATTCCGAATGGCGTCATGAGTGTATATATGAAGATTGCATGATATACTTCTATCAAAATCAAATGAGTATAAAACCACTATTCCTAATGAAGTTTTGGCTAGTTACATCTAAATGTAGACGCTGAATAACTCTTCACTTGCTTCGGAACCGAGAGCAATAACAGCACACGGTATGAGTATTGTAAGCTTATCAAGGCTTATGCTTGACTGTGCTGACATTATGCATGTAGTCCCTGGTTTATTTGTCACAGTCAGTCAGTAACAACGTGGAACTTGGTACGTACGTACATCAGTTCGAGCTGCCATACCACATTAGCACACAGATACGATTGTCGATTCAAATCCCACAGTGGTAGACGTAGTGAAAGTATAAGTAGTAATAGGGAACGTTAGGGTTTGATGATGTTATTTAATGAGTATAATCCAGTGGAATAAACTTGGAAAGAGAAAGAAAAGAAAGGGACATGAACTCAAAAGATTAGAATTTGGGAGAACACAAAGAGTCGATGCATCTACGCACACCATTTCAAACGATTTTGAGCCATGTCATTCAGGATCTCTAACCATTGGTTGCTATCATCCCGCGGTCCCCAACCAGGTAGTCTACACCTACCAACATGTCTCATTCCACTTGTCAGTGACTTCATGGATTTGTGCCATGTTTTGGTCTGGCCGCCCCTAGCTTTCTTCCAACCTACTCCTACACCATAAAACATCGCACGTCGGTGGTCTGGCATACGTAACACATGTCCCAGCCATCTCAACTGATTAAGTTTTACTACTTCATCAATTGATTTGCCATCCTTACCTATTACCCGTTTCCTAACAACTGAATCACGTACTCGGTCGAGAAATACTACAATTGTGGGGCGTCTGAATGTGTGTCTATGTTCTAGGACCTGACGTAGTGTGAATATTTGGTCTATACAACCACGTCCAGGTCGAAAACCAGCCTGGTTTTCTCTAGTCTGCTCTTCACGAGCTTTGGTTAGGCGTCGAAGTATTATTGAAGCTAATATTTTAGACACTATATTAGTCAAACTGATTCCTCTGTGATTGTCACAAGAAGACTTTTGTCCTTTCTTATAGACTGGCACAATCAGTGATTGAGACCAGTCAGATGGGATTACGTCCAGTTCCCAGATTCTACCTAAGACCTCAGTCAATCTCGCTGCTAATACTGGACCGCCATCCTTAAAAATATCAGGGGTAAACCTGTCAGGGCCTGCCGCTCTCCCACGCTTCAGATTTCCTATAGCTTTTTCAACTTCGTAAAGAGTCGGAGGACTTACATTAACTTGCCATTCAGGTAGACTGGAGATCGTGGGGAACCGAAGTGTGGCTGAAGGCCAGTTGAGCTGATCCCCCAAGTGTTCTGCTCATCGATCCAATCTCCTGGATTGAGAATGAATAATATGTCCATCTTTCTCTGAGATTGTTTCGCTAACAGTTGGGTTCCTAATACCGGTTTCCTTAACAAGCCTGAACAGTTGTCTTCTATTACCTATTGCCGCTGCCTTTTCCATCTCTCTTGCTTTCGCTACCCACCATTGTTCACGATCATTGTGTAGGCTTCTTGTCAGCTTGCGCTTAAGCTGACTCCGCCCTTCGTTATGTTCAGAGCCACATGGAATGAGTATTCGAGCGTCTATCAGTGCGGTAGACACTGCTGAGATCCAGTTTCTCCCTAACCTTATGATTTACCGTACTTGCAGACATCACTGATGTTTCTACAGATTTTCGGATGTCATTCCTAGCTGCCTCGGGGTGAGCATCACTTACATGGCTGCCTAACTGTTTTTCTAGTTGTTTCTGAAATATACTCTTAGCTTGACTATCATTAAGTAGGACCCTAAGGAGTTTCCTTGTACCATCTTTCCTACGTCCAGTAAAACGTAGACAAATACGCGCTCGCACTAGAGCATGATCAGAGTCTAAGCATGTGCACCAGAATGATCGACAGTCTTCTATCGAGCACCTCCATCGGTGGCTGATAGCGATGTGATTTATTTGAGTCCAACGTTGGGACGAATTAGGGAGTCGCCATGTCAAAAGATGTTCTTCCTTATGTTTAAAGTTAGTATTTGCAAGAAAAAGGTGGTTATCTGAGCTTAGCTGCAACAGACGGTCGCCATTATCTGTTTTTTGATCCGCGACACCATAAGATCCACCCAGGTGTCTTTCCCTTTCGCTTAGTTTACCTACTTGAGTATTAAAGTCACCAGCCACTATTACTACATCTAAACGCCTAGCTTTTCGGAGAAGGTCGGAAAGCTTTCTGTAAAACTCATCTTTTACATCATCTGAGCTGCAGTCAGTGGGAGAACAGGCAACGACGAGTGTCCCTATCTTTTCGAGTCCTTACTGTTCCGTTTAGTCGGACAGCTCACAAACGACTGTCTACTGGGATCCAGTCCAAGAGAGCTAGTTCTGCCCTAGGACCAAATGCTATACCTACGCCAGCGAGGCCACGGGAAGCAGCATCAGGGCTCCCAGATACACGAAATGTAAATCGGGTTGGTTCGTTACTTTGACATGGTGCGGTCAAATGAACGACACTACTAGGATCCTGTGTGCGCGTTTCGGAGACGCAGCACACATTGATGGAGAGAGATTCTAAAGTCTTAACTAAGGAAGCCTGTTGTCCTATTTCGCACAGTGTTCGGACGTTGAAAGCTCCTACGTGTAGTTTAGAGCGTGGTTTCAGGAAACCAGGAATAACGTTCCGCGTACTCGAATCGTTTGCACTAGCGGGGCGAGGTGATAAAGGGACGTGAGAATGTTTAGTCGTGGAGATAAGGGCTATTATGAGATGTAGGAAGGATTTGAATGTGACCAACGTGGTCTCGTGTGCTGTTACGAGTATGTGGGCTGATGTTACTTCCCGGCTGCCCACACCGTGAAAGGGTATTTCTTGAGGAACCTGAAAAGGAAATCGGATTATTGTTGGTCTTAACGACCTGGGAACGTGACCGCAGTGCCCAAGCGATAACTGCTCGAGGCCGGTCACGCACGGCCCTTTTGTGGGAGGTCTCTGACGTGTTAGCTCCGTTCTTCAAAGGGCCTTACCGCCGGAGACGGAAATCCGTGGAGTAAGGTGTGATATTTCTAGGGTCAACCTTTCCTAACCCCTTCTTTCCTTGTAAGAAGGCAGCATCACTGCAGATGCTGGCTGTCCGAGGGAAACACCTTACTGCTGTCACACCTCTGTACAGTCAGCAATACGACTTCGCATTCAGACCTTGAGTTGTTGCTTTTAGTCTTACCGTTCTCCAATCGACCTGCCTGGCATGGTAGAACCTACAGGAACATATGTTCCAGTCAATATAGCTCGGTTGGGTCACCACGATAGGCAAGCCCAACCACCACATCAAGGTAGCAGCCTACGGCCGGGATTACTTGTCAAACATTTCCCACAGCCCATATTTACTGTCATAGACTATCTAATACTGAAATGTTTTGCTTTAGTTATTCAGTGATCAAATGATGTTCTGCAGAGATCAAAATAGACACAGAGTTGATTTGGTGAATAACGCCATCCAGTGTTACTGATAACATAATCGAGTAACTAATTTAAACCTTACATATTTGATTTATGGTTGCGGTGCCCCCGAATTCCCTGGTACGGCCGAGAGTGAGGAGAGTCCGCTCTCCCCCTTGAAATGCTCTCACATGGCCACGCGTATATAGCCTCTGCCAGGGAAGTCCTGCTCACTGCCTTCTCGTGGCGGGGGTGTTGTTTACAAAAATGAGAGGACGAAAAGCGAATTTCCGGCGCTTTAACCGGATCCAAAACCAATGGTGCACATGGGCTCCAGTATCCTGAAGGAAAAAATCGCGTATGAACCAATCGTTGGTCACCGACTATCATGGGACTGCATCTCCTTACGATGCTCCACTGCCTTGTGGGTCAGATCTTCAGGTCGAAGGCTCGGGGTGTGGCCCCCTAAGAGAACCACCTGCTTCGGTTTGGGCACCTGAGCAGTATTACAGCCCTCACACAAATCAATTAAGATTCGTGTGTCGCATATGTATTTGGTGCCTCCTTGTACCAATACCTATATGTTAAAATAAAATATGGTTGCGGTAAAGCCAAAGATCATGTCATGACCACTTGGCTCATAGCTACCGATCGGTATGTACTGTCTGCATTCGTTATATATTTAGTTCATTAATTCTATATACATGAGTCGATTAAAGCTAGACCACCATGGAAAACCTGGAAGCACTGAACGGCCGTCTTGTCCTAGTATGGGACTCCTCAGCAGTATATATCTTCGATCCCGTGCGCGGGACTCGAACGCAGGACCTTCGGTCTCACAGACGAACGCTTAACCTCTAGACCACTGAAACGGCGTCCAACGGCGCTAGTGTCTAACTTTAACCAATCCATGATAATGTGAGACCGTCCATCATTGTCTTCAAAGAGTAACTGCCTCTACAACAGACACGGTTGAACTACCACGAGATCGAAGGTCCTGGGTTCAAGTCCTGCATGCGGGGTCGTGGATGCACACTGTTGAGTCCCGTACTAGGACAAAAGCGACGTTCAGTGCTTTCAGGTTTTCCATGGTGTTCTAGCTTTAATCGACACATTAATTCGACTATTAAAAATTACTACAATATCCATAAACGCCCATTCTGATAATTGTATATATAATCACTTAATTAAATTTAAAACTAACATGAATAAACAAGCTTATTATTTCAATGTAGATTAATTAGTAATCATTTTGATTTGTATGAAACAAATTTAAATGCTGGAAGATGGTTCCAAATATCTCTTTTTAGTAAAAGCTTATCAGTAGTAAATTAGGTAAGTAGGTTGTTAATGTATAAACATTTTCATAATTTCAAGGAATTATGTGGATCATATAGTTCAATCATTCTCTATTCGAAAACAGTTTTCAATGAAAATGCCCTACTAATTGTATAAAACCTCAACAAAGCTCAGTAATTTGAGATTTGATATTAGTGCCGTACCCTGACCTTCTTTAAAACAAAAATTTAGAATTACTGGTGGTTATACTTTGTGAAGTCATATATATAGCGAATGAAGACAGATTTTCACCGGCCATTAAATAATGGTTGCGATACACGTTTACATTAGAACGTGAAAACCACTATCCCAATCCATTGGGTGATCCGTTTCTAAACACATTCTACGTTCAGTGAATTTCCAGTTGAAATAGGTCAATTACTCAAACTGTTTTAAACCGGATTTATTCTACCCATGCACTCTAACCGATAGGATGGCCTTTGACTTATTCTCACTGGTGATGAACACTATTTCATGTGTACTAGTTCCACAGTAAATATGTGAAGCAATGGCCACAAGTAGTCGCTTTGTGAAATAAAACTTAGAGACAGTAACTTGATTGGTGGAAATAGTCATCTCAATGAAAATTGAGTTTGCAAGCTGATAGGTTATAGCTGCAGACTTAAAAGAAAACTAGTGATGAGACCAAACAACTGCTTAAAACGGTAGAATAATCAACACTAAACCCAAACACACGTTTCCTAACTTAAGTATAACTAACGTACAGATACAACTGGACGTTAATCATCTTTCGGAGAATAAGATAATTGAACACAAAGAGTCATCCAACATCCCCAGCTTGGAGAGGCCAGGTTTTACAACCACGTGGTAAAACTGCTTTCTCTAAGACATTGTAGACCCGGACTTTTAAAGTCTGACCAACAACAAAACGGCGCCTATGATAGCCCCGATTCCCATGGACCGCCTTAACGTTCACTGTTTATAGGTTGATCTCATATGTAGCGTCGCCACCAACATATAAAACTACTCAGATACATGAACCTTTTAACTACTTAGAACGGACCACCGCAAATAGTGAGTGTACACAGGCTGGTTATAATAAATCTATAAGCTAACCACAATATTACTTTTAATTTCTTGTGACAGTTTTAATTTACACACATATTAAAAGAAAAGAAACAATTAAATAATAGAAGTTAGGTATAAAAAGAAACTTTTCTACTTTGAAGAGCATATTAGGTATATATATATATATATATATATATATATATATATATATATCTTGTTGAGTATTCACTGGCCAGAATGCAATGTCCGATTGAAGGCATTATATCCAGAGTCTAAATCAAAAAGCATCTGTCGTACTTCAGCTTCAGATAATTCATCAGACGCTTGCATTTGATCCATTTTGTCTAGCCTAATAAAAGGCAAACAATAAATGGAAACCTATTTTAGAAACCAATTTTTAAGATTTATTCAGTAAACTGTGTACCATGTATTTGAAATTATTTAAGATACTAACTTTGAGTACAGACGAAAGTCTATACAACCAATCATATATATTTCAAGCCACTTTTACTATGAATCACAAACATATAGTAAACATGTTTTAAAAGTGTGATGTTTTTGTAACTAAATATACAATGGGTGAAGATTATCAGGAAACTCGATGACTAAAAAGTTGGAGTGAAGATAATTTCAAACAGTAGGTTGATACAGATTCGGTTGACAGATCGACTGAATAAATGGAAACGACTAAAGGGACTATAGTCAATTAGTTATAATAATCGATTTTTATTCAGAGTAGATCATGGATTCGAATCCCCTAACAAACAGGAGTAAAAACAGCATCTATGACTTTTAGACATATGACTCGCACTTAACATAATAATGGGTGTCAACTAATGTCACTTCCAAATTTTTCGAAATCTGCTAAATTAAACTTACCAGGCTTTCACTCTGTCTTTACCCTCAAAATCTGCAGGTAGAATACTCAACCGATAAAGAGTTTCATACAATTCTCGAAGATCTGGATGGATCTGTAAGAAAACTTATCAATATCAGAATAGTACTACTTCATCCACTGCGCGAATGTCTAGTCGCAGCTTATCCATAATCGTAATAAACAACTAGAACAAAAAAACAAAATAGGAATAATGCAATGTAAATTTCAGGATAAACGTCAAGAAAACTAAAGCAATAAATATGACACTTCTTAAATGAAGATTCAGAACAATAATTGATAAGCTGTTTAGTGCATAAACCGGTGATAAAAGATGAAAAAATCTATATAAGTAGAACCATAAAAATCAACAGTATCACATGGTAAGTTATCACAACAAACATTATTTTCTCCAACGTTTTTATAAAGAACACCACTTGGATCACTTTTTAAGAATAATTCTCAATAAAACATTATTAACATAGTCAATGTGAAACCTAACGATAGTTACGTCCCAAATTTATTAACTAATCAAAATTAACTTACAGAAACAGTATCAGCAATACTTTTATTTATATTCTGTTTATCATCCTTGATAGTTATCGGTCTTCCCTCCTTAATACGCTCTAGAGCTGCTGGACAATCCATCTAAATTGTAAATGAAACAAATTCTTGCAATTGACAAACTTTATATTTTCGCATGAAATCCTCTACAGTAGCAAATTCATCTCCTTGAACTTGTTTAAATGCAGCTTTGTACTGGACAAGAAGCTTTGAACAGGCAGCAGTATACCTAAGTTATTAAGAGCATAATAAAAGCCTATTTAACTCAACTCTTTTGATTCCACATAGTCCTTAATATATGCTTTTTGTAAACATTGTATAGTGTTGATAACAGCATAGAGTTCAGCAAGATTGTCATACCTAAAATAAATTTCTAGACTCCTAAATGGGACTTACTTTTCTCTTTCGCGTGCAGTACGATAAAGTTTTACTTCCTAAACCAGAAATAAAAATAATGTGAATACTGACATACTTCGTACAATTCGACACGGCCATCCACTAAAAAGGGGAAAAGATAACTTGTTATTTAGCTGCGTCAAAAACATTAAAAATGGATCCTAATCAAATGAAATGATGAAAATCATGTTTAAATTGGTGCCTAATTTTAGGTAACTCAAGAAATTAGAATGTTATATACTAACCCTCAGGTCAAATGATGTGCGGCATGTCCCCTGAAAATTTAGCCTGCTTCAGTTTGTGCGTTCCAGTAGCATCCCATCACACACAAATTTGACGATAACTAACAAAGAAACTGTTCTACTCGCTCTATTTTACTATGCATTCAAACGATATTTACAACCAATTTATCACATACAACTTTGTTTTCAACTGTTTCAACTTTCTATCCCGTTTTATTTCAATGGTACATACATTCACCTACATAAATTTTATTCTCAGACTCACTCAGAAGTTCATTGTTGTTGAACTTTGTCTTCTCTAATCGGTCGCAAGTCGTTAAATGACCGATCTTTTTAATGTTGTCATCGAGTGCAATAACTGATACAGATTTTCTGAAGCCATGCGTCTTATTTTATCCCGTTGAAACCAACATTCACACTATGATGCAGATACGGGGCCTCAAAGGAACTGACGTGTTGGTGTGGAACTACATCTTATATCGTGGACATTACCAATGAACTGGATTTCTGTCATGTCATGTGCTGCTAATCCAGAAGGTCCAAATCAGGAAAAAACTACCATGAGAAACCACTTTTATGTAACCTCTGCCTACTCACTGACGGATCGAGCTTCAGACCCAATAAAGAATGAGTTTTGCCAATAATTAAACGATCCCAATAGGGTGAGTTCGAAAAATGTTTCGGTGCTAGGTGAGGACTTGTATGTGCAGACAGAAATAAGTCTTTGAATAATAAGTGGGATAAAGAGCATCGTCTACCGAAGCCATGTATACATCAGAACCTGTTTCTAGTCAGAACTAACATCCGTTACAGTCACTGACGATTTGCTATGAAGCTTAGGTCTAGACTTAAACTGATCATACTGCAATTAGCACTGGATGGGCTGCATATATGCCGTACTGATTTTTTTTGGAGCACCTATTCAGATTTTGGTTATGTCGTGTGACAAACTTATCTTGCGTCTTCTTGTAAAAAAACATCGCTCAAAACGGATCGATACATACAAAATGAGACATCTTTCACTGTAACCAAATATAAAAACGATCTAGATTCAAGGCCAGCAACCACCCCATCGGCAAAGGAAGACGATCACTAGCTACACTTCCATGAAAATAGTGAGAAAATTCATCTGTGGTTTGACAAACACCAGGTTGCTGTAGGTTCCTTGAAACCTTTGAAGGCACATTAGTCTGCTCTGGTGAATCGTGAGTTCGACAGCAGGAACATACCTCAGAAAGTTTTACGAAACTTGATTAAAGTTTGATATATCTAATGGTCATAGTGTGTTAGAAACAGTTTCATCCGTTAACTGACAAAAATATTTCAACATACGCGAGCCACACGTAGGAAGAAGTACGCCGACAATAAAATAACCTGTAAAGTTGATGGCATTTCAATCAGTAACCTCCGAAGACGTTTGGACATCGAGCAGAGCACTCTGAAAAAATAGTTTAACCACCTTATTATTATTAGAACCTCAATCAGTCCGCTGTGCGCTCTTTAGTCCATGAAGACCAGTCCAGGTATCCGTAAAGAACCTCTACTGCTAAAAAGTTGCAAATTATAGATCTAAAACACCCCCTCTCCTTTTCCAAGAAGAGGAAATCCGGGTCAGTGAACTGACTGAAATGTTTGAAAACAACTGGTGTACGAAGCGTTTTACATCATGCTGGAATAAAGAGATCGTGATTTCGATCTTGAGAAACGTCACACGTAAGTTATGCGGCAATTGTCAGAGTACAGGTCTGTTCACTGCCTCAAAACTGATGACTTCCACCATACTCCATAGATTGTTCAAGACTCACCAGATTATATGGTAAGGAGCAGGCATGAAACGGTTCGTGTCTCAAGCCACTGAACTGCACCATCCCTAGGATCTTATCCGGGTAGTTGTGATGGATGGGAGGATGCCAGTTGTATACATTTTCTTGTGCTACGGCGCCATGTTACCAACCGGTTACTTATTCGATTTTTCCACAAAGTTCAAAAGTTAAACATTAATGCACAGTGAGGAGACACCTGGGATGACATTCATAACGTTTTCAAGCCATCAAAGTCAGTATTTCAAGATGATGACATTAAAAGAACAATCAAAACTAAACCCAAACACACGTTTCCTAACTTCAGTATAACTAACGTACTGTTACCACAGGATGAACACAAAGTCACCCCGTACTCCCAGCGTGGAAAGGCCAGGTTTTGAAACCACGTGGAGAAACTGCTTTCGCTAGGACATCTTAGACCCGAACTTTTACAGTTTGACCAACAACAAGACGACACTCAAGTTAGCCCCAATTCTCATAGAAGGCCAGGAAACAGGTCCACAGCGTATACTTCCCTTAGAGCTGATTTCAGGCTATCACTAATGACATTATTTCGTGAATCATGCCAACTAATAAACCCTATAGGAAGAAACTAGGATACCGATGTGTGTTTTACGAGTACTTCGCTTGTAAGCCAAAATACATTTTGAATTTTTTAGCACGAACCACGAAAAGGGAAATTGTCGCTTCATTGTCTTCCGAGATGGATGAGTATAGTTATAGTCTCAATATAGCAATAGTATTGGTCGAGTTAGTATAAACGCTGAGAGATGATTTGGTGATCGGAGGACTGCGCTCTTTTGAATGAGAAATGGAGTTATCTAGTCGACAACAAAAGAAAATTAACTGCATATTATGAATAAACCCACTTAGAAACCTGAACCTCAAACTTACTTATAGACATATGAAGCGCCGCACACTTTCAACTTGTGACCTCACGAAAATTCAATGTCCAATATCTCCGTCACAAGCCTGTATAAACCTACTGCTTTCCTTGTTTTCGCTTATTATTAGTTTAGTACGGTTCCAGACACTTGTTTATGTTTAATGAGTGGTAGTTTAGATACTTGACTGCCTTAATTCTAGTCGTTGTGGTAGTTATTTGTGGATTTGTACATCTTGTAGCTGAGTGAGCGCGTGTAGCGGTAAACAAATTCCTAAATAAATAGTTCAGTAAGTTTTCGACGTTCGACGCTGACCACATTAGTTTTGACGAACGTACCCAGCTGAAGGCTCTCGGTCATGCATCCGTACCAGGTCACGATTGGGTACGCCTTGCTACCGACCCCCTTTCAACCGTTAGCCATATTAGATTAAACGCCTCTCCAGATATCGACAGCCTTTCAAGTATGACTTCAAACCTTTTCACTTATGACTTGTGATTTGACTGGGTTGGCATACATTGGTCATAAAGGTGTTACTGGTTGAAGCGTTGTCAAACTCCGAATTCATGTGGCAACTTTATGCGACTTTATGTGGACTCTAATGGGTACTACACAACCAGGCAGGAGGTTGGATGGTTGCAATGTGAAAAAAATATAGTGAGGACTTAAGTGCTGACAGATGACTGCTTCACGAATAAATAAACAGTCTACCTAATTGGTACTATGTAAGCAGACAGAATTAAAGAATAAGAGTGGTAGGGAGATGAGAGACATAGGAAGTAGTTACGACTTGCTGTAATGATGACTGTCATAATTTACGAGACAGGCATCAGACACAGCTGGTCCAAGAGGATGGTAACTTGTGGATGTGTATGTGTTTATCAAGTTTCCTCTCTAAGCTCTTTACTGATAGGATTGTGGTCACATCGGCTCGCGTAACATTGAAAATTGGAGTAACTTATTAAAAACGTAAGGGCGTATATAGATGTTCACCATTTGATTTGCAATCTTCCAAGGGTTTCTTTAAAGGGAGTGGTGCTGATATTCTGTTGATGTGATTATGTTGCGGTGGCTTAGTGTACTTAATATGTTGCATGTCACTATCAGATCACCTCTTATTCTCCTAAAGCTTAACAAGAATAATCCAGTGTTGGAGCCTGTAGTCATTAGGCTTATGTTTTAGACCTATCAGTCACTGGGTTGAAAGTCTCTGTACATGGTCTAAACGGTTTATATTTCTTTTGAAGACATGGGCACAAAAACACTATGGACATCGAGGTGGACCTGTGTGTATATTGTACACAATGTTAGGAACTACTTTGGAGTAACTGAATATTAACGTATGTCAAGTAGTTTGACCTGGTGTCTAAGTTTTCTGTGGTTACAAGCCTGAAATCATGCTTTCAGGAGAAATGAGGAGCACATTCTCATGGAGAGTGTTTTGTGTCAAACGAGTCAGAATGTTCATGACGTGACATTTAGACTGGTTATTTTAATCAAGTGTCTAATACCTCTTCTTGTATTACTATAAGGTTCTTTTGAAGTTCAAGTGTATCCCATTCGTTTTTTATGGACCTCCAGGTCTTTGCATCGTCCATTGCGCCACTTTTATCCAACAGATTGTAATAAAGATTAAAAATAGAAACTGATCCAAGGTGTTTTCTTTCCGAACTCCTGATGTTGAGACCATCCAACTTGCATGCACTCTACTAACCTGGGTATTAAATATCCTGTTCTCTACGCATTTTTGGAGCCGTGATAAAACTGGGTCAGTGAGACGTTCATGAGATACTGTGTCAAAGGCTTTTGTGAAATCGAGGAATATTACTTGAACCGGTTTCTCATGGTCCCAGCGGGTCATCTAGTCTCCCTTTGCAACGAGTATGTTCCATACACATGACCTACATTGGACATGTGGCAGTTGCAGCGAGGATGGTTAAAGGCAAAGTTCCAACCGTGTTTTTAAAGACTTGCTCAAACGTTACCTTTATTCACATGCCTCTTCTTAAATAGTATTTTCTCGCTATCTGTATCTCTAATCTCAGAAACATTATACATAGTATTTGCGTCTCAAGTAGTTCTTACTTCGTAATACACAAGACGACAAGTTTGAGTTCCATGATGGGGTTAGTATGGAATTACTTGTCATCATCTCGGACTAGACGCTTTATGAACCTAGGGTCAGAGGTGGGAGACATATCCCGAGAAAGTACTCAGAGTATTAACCAAACAGTTAAAGCAAGCATTTTATTGAGAAACCAGTACCTCATTATGATCTAATATCCTCTCTCTAGTTTCAGAAGACAACAACTATAAATCAAGAAGTAAGGTTAGTCTCCAAAACGAACTTCGAATAGATCGTGTACTGGGAGAGTAGGACATAACGACAGCTATCCTACTGCATGTAATTCACTAATTGCAACAGACTCCACCTCATTAGAATGAAAAGTTTATGGAGAATAGTCCCACCAGCTTTAAAAAACTGATTCGACCGTGTACTATTACGGGTTCACAGTTAACCACTCATGCCCGTGGTCGGGATAATTGCGTCGTGTATAACTCTTGGCGCCCAAGCAACAAAAGCACGGGCTTACACAGGATTCACTAGGAATAAGAAAACGTGACCAAAAAAGTTACTCTCAAAATATCGCCCTCAATTCATACATACTGGTTGAATGAATAACCCTCTGCCGTGTCCATTAACCACGAACAACGGAATTTAAATTCATGTGGCTGCTGTCTCACTGTCGGAAATAAACCTATTGTAAATTCGAATGAGTTTCGGCAAATAAATGCTTCGAGCTAGATACTGGTGGTAATAGAGCGATCGCGTTAAAAATCTACCCAGGGTCTGATTCGGCATTGTCGCTATTACTTGAAATGCTGTCCTTCTTCACTTCATGCTAGCTTCTATCAAAGACATCCGCAGCCTTTAGAGAGAGAGTTCTCGTGGGAATCAACAGTATGTACTGAACCCACCAGATAATTGATTCTCAGTGCCCCGCAACTAACAAACTGCCATCTAGGTGAAACATGTATGATTCATGCACTGCAGTAGCGACAGCCCTCACATCACTCAAAAGTATAAAAAACAACAGCTGTTATTGTCCATCGGATCCTCGACAGCGTTTAGCAGGTTCTCATTGATATCTGTCAAGCTTAAGAATTATGAAGATCTGACCGTAAGTCCCCAGGCGGGTTACTATGCGAGAGATGACCTACACGGTCATGTCCGGCATTGTAAGGACTGATTGGGATGGCTTCAAATAAAAAGTGGAAATTAAGTGGACTATGAAATGGCATCAATTTTACTTGAACAGAAAACTCTGGTCCACGGGCTGCAGTGCGCCACCTCAGAACACCCAGTGGCTGAGCTTATCATGCAAAGATGAAGGTCTCTTAGGGCAACCATCCATTTTTAAGCCACCCCTGTCCATAACCTTACAGGTGGATCTTGCTTTAAATAAACCCTGAGTAGTGTGAAAAATAAGTGTCTTCACAGAGTCATTGTTAAGTTTGAGTGTCGTATGAGAAAGCTCCAAAACTTGTTTATTCGTCTCGGACACCAGGTCATAGTTCTGACAGATATCACGGATAGTGAAGTTAGCATTCAGAGCATGAAACTTTAGATATTATACAATACATAAAAGAAGATAAGTGTTGACGAAATGCATCGGCTGCCACCTCACAGCCATAATTTGTATTAACGTTGGGGTTCCCAAATTGTTGGAGTTCCGATGGTAATAGTTCAAATAGGAATATCAATGAGCATATATCCTGGGAAATACATCTTCCTCAAAGTAAATGTAAATATGATGAGCAGAAACTTCAGGTAATTTCGCTGTTATCCCCCGTGGGGTCTGATAATGTACTCTTTTTCGTAGATTTTAACACTTCATTCCTAAATCTAAGAAAGAAAATCTGGTGACCATTAACAAGTACTAAATAGTCAAATGACTATCAACTTCACAAGAATTAGGGAGGTCGAATGACCAGATGTTCCAAAATGAGCGCTACCAAAGACATGGAAGTGTACCGCAACATCAAGAAGCTTCCATCTAAAATCCTCCCCCGGTCAAAGTTACTGCAGCCCACTCAGTTATCATCCTGAAGAGGAGAATAGGTTTGACGACATTGTCAAATGTCATTGAAATACTAAAAACGACACTGAAAATTACTATCTGCTCACTGGTGGCTAACTTCGAGAGTAAATTCCCGGTGTTCTAATAAGCAGCCAAGACAGCTGGAGATAATCCATGTGGGATGTGAGGCAGCTACCCACCGAGGACAATGAAAGATGGTCACGCAATGTTGTGGATTCTTTGAAATTAGACATTACCACTGTTGGGCACCAATTCAGTGGTCTAAAGGATGAGCATTCGTGCAAGAAACCGAAAGTCACATGTACGAGTCCCAAGTGCGAGACTATGAATACAAAATGCCGAGGATCCCATACTAGAGCAAATCAAAGGTTCAGTACTTTCAGGCTCTTAACTTTGGTCGAACTTAGACCACTTTATGTTCCTGATTAAATCAATTAGTTCGTTTATTAACTTATCTATTTGCTTCTTTACACAACTGTCTACTCTTAGATCTATATTTGAATCTTTTTGTTATTTTCTATGCCACAACCAACCAGTCACGTGCCTGGCAATTAGTTGTCCTCCGGTCCGAAAAATCCTAATTTCCTTAGACAAATGTACTGATTTAGACTACAAGATGTACAAGCTTATTAATAACTAAAAAACCAACTGGAACTGACTAAGTAGAGTAACTAGATCACCGTTTTTCGAACATGATCAAAGACCCGTAAAAGCATTATAATAATACGGACCGAACACAAAGACAACACCTAATTTGCACAAGCTCTTTACAACGATTTCGGCAACACATAAGCTGTCACATTTCGCAACATCTATTATTAAGGAAACCCGGTAGCTGTTGAGGCGTGAGAAACACTTCTGGTACTTATTCTTGTCAACAGGACACGAATCATTCAAGTGTGAACATCAAAAAATCCCGAATATATGTGAAAAAATCATAGTTAAATCCCGTACTACTTACGAACAACAGTTGACATAAGATATCCGTACTTGTCCGAAACGATGGTTTTCGTATCTTAAACGGCGAAAAAAATTAGTGATGGTATTCCACCATTGCTGTTACACGAAAATTCAGATTTACTAGCTGAGTCAAATCAGGTAAAAGCTGAGACGTTTTCAAACTATTTTAGCGAAATCTACTCTACGTGTATTGCTACAAACACTTGTCCCAATCACACCGCGGTACCAGCCATAATTCTGTATATGTGACTGAAGAAACTGTTCTTCGGTTGGTCCGCAACCTGAAGCCTTGTAAGGTACCGGGCCCTGACGGGTTACCCCCACGACTGCTGTCATTTCTTGCGGACATTATTTCAAGACCACTCGTGACGCCCTTTAACATGTCCCTTTCACTCGCCTAACTCCCCTAGAGATTGGAAAGACTTTATAGTCAGTCCTATATTTAAGAATGATCAGAGACAGATCATAAATAACTACCGGTCTGTCAGTCTAACTAGCATAGTTGAAAAGATAATTTGGGTTAAGTTACCGAGTCATATAGATTCACACAATCTGTTAAATCCCTAGCACTATGAGTTTTGTAATAAGCGTTCATGCTTGACTAAATTACTTATTGTGAGAGAGGATTGGACAGCAGCCATAGATAACGATTTGTTTGTTGATGTGATATTCATATATTTTAGCAAATCATTTGACAAGGTTTCACTCTTAGGTCGTAAGATGAAGCTCTCAATCGTCGGAGTGACAGGTGCTGTACAGGAATGAGTAGGACACACTGTACAGCATCCAGGCGGATAGCTCATGTCTGATCGAGAATACCAACTCACTCGAGCGTGTTTGGCGTGTGCGAGGTAAACTAGTGAAATGTCTTTCTAAACTCCACTATGATGAGCGCTTAAAACGAGAGATGACCTTATAATGGTATTTCGTATCTTTAATTATGATTTGGGTGTTAATATGTCCTATATTTTTGTTCTTTTCAACAATAATAGTCTCCAAGGTCATGGAAAGAAGGTTGGTAAGCCACAATCTAATAGACTTAAAGTGGGGTTCCGTTTTTCTCATCGGGTAGTCAATGACTAGAACGCCTTACCCGTACAAACGGTATCAGCCCCATCAATGTATATTTTCAGGGAGAAACTGGACCTCTGCTGGAGGGCAATCTGTGAAGATTACCACAGGTTCACCAACCTACTATCATTTATACTGGAGACTGAAGATATTGGATATTGGACCGTTGATTTAGTAACGGTAACGTGCATAATATGAATATTTTTTGTCTACAATAATGTCAAGTATAATTTATTCTTGGGTGTCGCATGAGTTGAACGTACATGGTTAGCTGTATTCTTTATTATACAATATCTTCATTTTATAGGTCAGCCACTGGAGAAGTTATTTGCAAACGGTTACTTTTTGGGAAAACTTCTACACAAATATAACAAATTTCAGAAATTCTATCTCCTAAAAAATTCCAGGTATAAGTGATTTTTTTAACTTCCATAAAGCTCACCGGAATCGGTTATTCAAAATTTTTCTTACTTACGATCATCACTCTACGAAATGGGAATAAATATTGATGCACACCTAAGCCATGACATAATCACCGAAAAACCTGGTAGTATACAACAAGTTCTGTACCAGATTTACGTCATTTTAAGTGGTGTGGATGGCTTCAACCGATGTGATACTATCGATTTCTGTAATTTTGAGCATACACAATTTATTACTCTCCAAAATCTGTCTTACAAGAACGTGAGTGGTTATATCTATGATTAACAGATTACAATATGTTTTATTAAAGCCCTCGGGATTCATGAAATATCTAAAAGGCCGGTATAGCCATATCTTTATTGTGTTTATATTGTCGATATTAATTGAGAAATACAAAACGGGACTCTTTATTTCTCATGAATATTTTTAATATAATATGTGTCTTTTACCTGACAGGAGGACTTAATAAAATTTTAATTTTTGACTTATCTATGTGACCAATAATACATGAGACGGTGAAATAACTCATTCATATCTAAACCCCAAAATATCACTGTACATCGGGAAAACCTGTAAATCTCCCTTTTAAAATTGAATAATGGTGTTTTGAAGATCTTTGGAAAAAAAGACCAGATATAGCTGTAATGATATTGGCAACAAACTAGTAGAATGAAACATAACATGTGAGAATAAATCGAACGAGACTTTTGCCGATATATATATATATATATATATATATATATATATATACTTAGAGGTTAGTTTAATGAATAGGTGATCAGACTCATTCCTTCTGGTGTTTATTCTGAGGTTGTTTTATAGACGCATCTCATCGCTCTATCGTTTTGTACACTTCAAATCTGTTTAAATCTTCTAATTTTGCTCATTATTGAGTGCAGATATCAAAAGTCGCTTTGTCTTGTCTCTTATAATTTAGGTCTCTACAACGTTTTCATAAGCCCTGCAACAGAGAATAGTAGCCAGCTTATGAGCCGATCTAGACTCATTAGTAGTAGCGTTTTATATTTCACTACCACATCCAAAATAAGCTTTACATATGAAATCCAGAGACTATGTGGTCCAGTATATTATACCATCTCCAAAACAAACACACAGATTTCGAAATATTTTGACTGTATTTGATAACATTACAGCCATTGGTAATTACATTGTTGTAGTTTTAGATCCGTCATTACTGTTCACAGATCATAGCAACAGTCATATCACGACTTCACACTCCCTTATAAACAACAACTTGTTCACCTGGTATCCGTAATAAACACCTTGACCAACTCCTACTTTCTGTTTCTGAAATCGGCATTGCTGGTAGAGATTTTTCGTTGCGATTGAAAATGTACTTATAGTTTGTGAACCTCTTCTTGTGGTTTCAGAAACGGATAGTTGTAACTATTCTTTTTGTTCCGTACACACTTATTTGTGCATTTCTGTTCTAACTAAAGCATGAGTAACCATTGAAGAAATTGATTTAAACATTAATTGACTGACTCTCATATGTGAACAAATATTTTCGTGTATATAAAGCAAGACCACATGCACTTTGAAATGTTTAAATTGTTTGATATTAGTTTGTGTATGACACAAATAAACAATGTTTTTATTGGATAGATATGCAGAATTTTCACGCAAAATTTAAAGCTTGACTATATTTGAAACTAACGAAGATAATCGCTTTTACTGAAACAGTTGTAGAATAGATAACATAAAGTGAAAACCGGCAGAGCAAGCTTCATAGCATATGAATATTTACAAATTTTGTCGATCCCAGTGTTCAGAAATGATATGTATTGAGAATTACCAAATCTCCACTAATTCATGACTCCAAACATAATACTTTCGGTTGTTTGGTTCAGTATATGTACACGAGAGTGAGAATGGAAATTTACAACACAAAGACATCTGAAAAGCTGGTTTTATACTTGAAAGATATTCGAGGATTTATTAAGAACTAGAATTTGTTTAGAAGCCAAGGCCTGTTTGGGCAGTAGTCAGTTGAGAAAGTGTATTAGTATCATAGATACGACAGTACAACTTAAATAACTTGTTATAAGTAATGAGTAAAGAGTACAGATTGATTGACACTTTGAAGGTAGGAATATTGACAAAAATATTCACACAGTCTTTAACCATTTCTACGAATTTCGCGAGTGGTATATTTTTTACCAAAAGAATAAACCCCGCTATCACAGAAAATTATGGGGGAGCAATATTCGTCGGAAAGCATATTTTGGTGGTATTCATCATAAAAATCAAGCTGATTATTGCTATACCAGAAGTCATATAATCCAAAATCCTTAAGACTAAAAAGTAAATTGACAAAAGTTGATTTATGTAGTTCAAATAAGTTCTCGCATGGCTGAGTAACCAAGAGAAATAGGCTATCCAAAATTTGGCTCAAAGTCAACCCTAGTTTAACCAGTTATTACGAGCTCACTTTAGTTTTTTATGCCCCTAAACAGATATGTTCTGTAAAGAAGTATTTACAGATGTTTAAGTACTCTATGACCCACAACATTTCGAATGATATGATTACAGTCGGGTTGTAGGATAATTCTATTTGGTATTCCAGCAAATATGCTTGCAAATTTCATTGAAATGTGGTTTCATAATGCTGTACTTTGAAAGAAAACTAATCAAGTCATTGTGGATGGTACCTAATGATCTCAACTGGTACTGTTTCGTCTTTTTAAATATCATAAAGTGGACATTTAAAGGATAGTATCTGGAAAACAGTATTGTGTAAAATGTACACAAGATTATAACTACAGTCAGGTAATTGCGTACTAGTGGACCAGATAGATAATCTTGCATTTTAGTTTTTAACTGAAAGGCAGAGTGCGTCATATTAAATAAAATACCTGCAACACGTTTCAAAGATTATGTTTATCCTCAAGTCAATCAGGTCTAAATTTTAAACTCTTTTGCATTATCGCTTCGATGAATTCATATAAATTCTCATTTCTGGAACATGTTACGAACATTTATAGGAATTTTATGAAAGTTCAAAACTTAACGATAGTTTATTCAAAATGTGGTGAACTTTAATTACTGTGTGAGGATTTAAATGAATTTTTTCAACCTATAAACCAGTAAACTTATATATGAATGAATAAAAGGTAGTCAAAGGGTTTCTGATAATCCAACTATGATCTCTTATAATATCTGTCATGATGTTTAACTCTAGAATGTAACGCTGAACATGTTGCACAACAATTCAACGGACTCGTCAATTAGGATATAGGGGTTGTGGAGATTGTTAAGTTTTGATTGAGATCATGAAGCGATTGATGTTAGATCACCATTGAAAACCTGGAAGCACTGAACGGCCGTTTCGTCCTATTGTGGGACTCCTCAGCAGTGTGAATCCATGATCCCGCTCGCGGGATTCGAACCGAGGGCCTTCGGTCTCACGGACGAACGCTTAACCTCTGGACCACTGAACCGGCATCCAACGGTGTTAATGTCTAACCTCAACCAATCCACGAAGTTGCGCAACCATCTTCCATCGTACTGGGGTAGACATCTGTTTCTACCCGACACGGATTAACTCCACTGGTCACGGCTTCTCACTAGAACTCCGAGAATTTTCTCACGAAGCTAGTCAATAGTGAGAACATGTTAATTACCAGTACAGAGGTTGTGGAGATTGTTAAGTTTTGATTGAGATCATGAACCGATTGGTGTTCGCACGCGAGACTGAAGGCCCTGGGTTCAAATCTCGCGAGCGGGATCGTGGATGCGCATTACTGAGGAGTCCCACGATAGGACGAAACGGCCGTCCAGTGTTTCCAGGTTTTCAATGGTGGTCTAACATCAATCGGTTCATGATCTCAATCAAAATTAGGATATAATTCCCTGTGTACCATTCGATACTTCTTTGCGCAAATATTAGCAAAAAACTTTATATATTTGTAAGTTTTGGAATAACTTAATAATTCTTCGCCGACTGTAAGCAACGTTTGAGGTTATCCAGCTACCCTGAACAACTGAGAATAAGCCTTGAAGTAATTACCCATGAACCCAACTGAGAGCCATGTTTAATAAATTACATGTTGTCATGATGGTGAAAAGCTTCTATTATAATTTATAACGCATTTAATCTAGAGAGTTCATAATAGTTGGTACTCTGCACGCATCACAATGCAAGTTGTAACAAACTTGAGGAAACAGGAAATGACACACTGATGTTTACTCATTATTCGCACTATCAACGTTCTTTATTGTTATATGGTGTAAAACGAAACTTAAACGTAATGGTTCAAGGCAAATTGAATTATATTCCCACTGAGAAACTCATATGCGGCAAGTATTTTGTGATTAACGATTAAATTTTGCATCTATATATGTTTAGTTTATGTTTTAAGTCGTAGGCATCACAGGTCTGTGTTAGTTAAACTAGTCCTCTTAACCATTCGGTTGATGTTGGTAATAGAGTAAATTGCATTCAAGGACAATTGTGTATATTTGACAGAAGCAGAAAATATTGCTCATTTCAAACTGCGGAAATAGTGTAGAGGTATTACTTAGTTTTATTTCCAACTAGTTTTTAATTTTAAATATGCCGTTTTTAAATTTGATCGTCTTTGTGTTTAAAAAGCAATTAAGGCAACTCATTCCGAGACAATCCGATGTTAGTTTGGCACAAATTCTGTCACGTTATGAACGACAAATGAAAATAAATGAGAAACGAATTAAAGAAGCTGATTTGATGGATACATTAGAAAAAGATGCTCTCGTCCAAAAACGTCGAAATTCAAGACTTCAAAGAAGTCATGACTTGCGTATGATGCAATCTGAATTAATGGCTAAATTAGAGTAAGCAGTTGTTTATATATCGTTGTAAAATATATTGCAAAGGATAATAATATGTTGGTTTATCTTAAAAGTTTCTAAATTTATGGTTTAATTGTGAGTGAAGAGGTTTTAAGGACATTTTTTACACTATCAGAAAGTAATTTTCATTAAGAATCAAGCCATTTTACGAACAACCAAAAATGACTAAACACCGTAAGGATGTTTTTCTAGATCAGAACTCCTTATCAGATCATACTTACGAACTTACGCGGGATCAATCTCAGGCCTTTTGGAAGTCACAATGGGTAGGGTGTCTTTCGTCACTAACTAGAAATTTCGTATCTAAGATGTTTACTTTGTTTGATACTACGACATTCATATTGCTACTTTAAGTTTATTTTTAATTCACTAATTCTTTACCAGTTTAATGCAGTTTTAAACTAACTGTTGAAGTAGACCAAAGCTCGACATATCTCCAGACGGATTTACAAATTTAAGAGATATGAAGAAGGGTTTTAAGCATATGATATTTGCCATATAGATTTATTACTGATAAATTGAAATGATTAATATTATCCAATAATTGTAATGAGTAGATAATTCAAATGTGTTTATTCTTATAATTTTTTAAGCTAACTTCGTTTTGTTTTTGATAGAACATAAAATATACTACACTATTGTACATATGTTCTAAAGGTTACTCAAAAAAGTTCTAATAGTCATGTAAATCAAATTTGTCTTGCTATAAAACCTACTTCATCAAACTTGAGTTATAATCATTGCTCTATTCGTTATCTGTGTACCGATGGTTGCAGAAACATTTGCTAAAGTGCCTAAAATAATTTAAGTAGTTAATTTTGCTATATATTGCACATCTTTTAGTCGTAAAAATTGCTTAAGTTATTAGCAAAAACACCTTTCATGTAAATGAGTTAGGTACTTATGAAATTATGGTGGGAGAGTACTTCATATAAGTGCAATGTTCACGGGTAAATTCATTTCAATCACCTTAAGCTATAGGAAAATATTTTCTGTGAACACATTATAGTAACATATCCTAACATGCCATGAAAGTTTATAAAACGAAATTAGATAACTATTCCGAACGCAATACTTTTAAAAATAAGTGAACATTGATTTTGTAAACACTTAGCCTTTAGAAAAACAAAATATTCCTAACATTCGTAGTTGCATTATGTTAATATATGCTAAAAAAAATCATTACTTAGGGTTTAAGGTGAGAAATGAAAAGTGACTGAAAGTTGTTTCTCCCTGTCCCCTCACTTTTGAACCTCAAGTTATCTCTACTGATATATACATATATATATATATATATATATATATATATATATATATATATATATATATATGGGAGAAAACTAATATTATCACTTTTAACCAAACAGCAAACTTAATCGCAAATTAAAACCTCAAACCTGAAAATATGATTCTGAAACATGAAAAGGATGATGCTTCTTCCAAAACTGTATCAGTGATAATAACCTGTATCTAACATTTTAAAGCTATGATATATTCTTTCTCAGTCTGTGATCGATTATGATTTGACGATAGGTGTGTAGTCGTTAACCATATACCTCCGATGTTTTAAGATACCACAAGAATAATGTGTTTCAATAGTTGGGGAAAGGTTCATGTATTATGCTTTCATACCACACTTTGTGAGTAACGATTAGTAAAACTATTCAACTATTGAAACCGAAGTAGGTGAAGTGATGTTTGTACCTTCAATCCGGAGGTTGAAAATCAAATACTTCAAACGTTGATCAACTTGTTGACATGTACTGTGAGGAGTCAAAATATTGTTTAGCATATGACTACTACGAATTGGTAAGTCATTTTCTAATATGACTTGATAAAATCTTAATGAACAATATTTTGAAGACAAAACTTACTTTTACCCGATTTACTAACTTTTTATGCTCAATTTTTAAGGTTTATCTTCAGTACTTACAATATGACTAATTTTCTCAACTCATCTTTAGAGCATCTATCATCAATTTACCAAAATCTGTTCGGAAGAAACTAACAACTAAAAGTATGGACAGGCAACAATCCAAGCAAACACATACAGTAATGTTTTTATTATTATGATTATTTTCCGTTACATTGATATGTGTTTGTTATTCGTAGGTCAAAGGTTTCAATGTTGTCTTGATATAGAATCGATGAATTCATAGCTCACGATGTATAGTTATTAGTAATTATTAAAACGCCCTGCACATTCTCAACCAGCTAGCACTTTTATTTTGGCGCTAAGATGGTCTGAGGTCAGTCAATCATACTCATTGTAGAACCTGACGCATATGCGCGTCGGTTCAAATTTCTAAAGAAAGGTCAACGAATTCAACTGAGTATGATTAACTACTTTTATTCAACCCACTTGATTGTGTTTCAACTCAAGATGTTTCCAACCACTTCTTTTGAGTGATCTAAGACTTCGTTTCAACCGAATTTATAATTATGGTAACTTGAGTAAGTTTTCATATATTCGTTCGTATTAGTATCTCTACGGGCAAGAACAGTAAGCAAACGAACTAGTATGATAAGACACTGGGTAGAAAAGATTTACAGTTAAAAAAAGTGGTGTTACACTTTCCAAGAACATATGGGTATAAAATTTTCAATAAAAAAGCTTATGTAATAGATCTAAAACTCAGTATAATCACATGATATGTTCCAAGTTGTACGAAAGACCTCATCTTTAAGCAATCAGCCATGATTAATTCCAAGTAAATTATTTTTGGTCTTTCTGATATTACCAGGATCTTGTTTTGAATCCTTACATTTTATTATACTACCGAGATGATTTCTCAGTCACTTCGTGAATTATATCACTGTTTGATCTTAACCAAATAACTCCAATCCTGCCAAGAAGAAAACACTATTTCAAGTGTGTTTTCTAAAACGTTCAACTAATATGGGTAGGAACTTAGTTAGTTAAGGCGTTGAGTGAATATACGGCGGAAGCTTACTGTCTTTTAGGTGTGATATTTTGCTTTTTTAAAATTTCTGAACATCATAAACAAATGTATTTACAGTTCACCGTAGCTATCATTCAATAACCCAACAAAACGTATCGTCATGTAATGTATGATAATTATTACATTTCAGGTTTATTTAATAATACCTTATTCCATTCACAGAATGGCATCATTTTAAAAGAATTGGATGAATTTGACTCACGTAAAGAAAAATGTGAACTGTATAACAGCGATGCGTCAAAAACAGGAGATAAATCTAGCGAACAATTAAGTCCAAATTTAACACATAACACCTTAACAGACGATTTTAATAAAGCGGCAATGAATTATATGAAACAAATTCATAGAAAAGTTCACGAAGAGAAAAAAGCAATATCTGAGCGTCAAAAAAGAAGAAGACGAGTTATTATGGATATACTGGAAGCGAATCACATTCGACAAGTAAGTAGCTTTAAAGTGATTGTGATAGAAATAAATATCAGAACAGAAGCTATCAGTCTGTAAGTAAGAATAAAATACATCTTAAGTGCTTGACGTAAATTAGAATTGTTAAATAAAGAGCACAAGGTTGCATTGGTTTTATACCCACAATAGGAAGGACATTTTAGTTCTCGAAAATTGGATTTCTGATCCAGACTGAGCACAGGTAGTTTAGCCTGAACAGAGGTTCAACAATCCCATAAAAGTGATTCAGTAATGGTTAAAAATGGTTGCTTAAAACATTCATATTTAGACAGAAAATTCTTCATGATGTTATAGCAGTGAAATCCCTTTGCTTTTTGTTGGTGAGAATGTTGACACACGTGTTATTTTCACTAACAATACTATACTCAGAGTTCAACAGAGACCGCATTTTCTTGAAATATATCTCTTATAGCAATGTCAGGGAGGATGACCTTATCTAAGTTCCTATAAATGAACAAAAATTATCCAATTATTCCCGAACTTAATTGTCAAAGATTCGGATCATTTACAAATTCTTTTCATTGTGAACTAAAATTGGGTAGGGATTTAGTGAAATGAGAAATTAATGAACAGCCTTTTCCTATCGATATGAAGTCAACTTTAATGATTTCCAGTTGATCGGACTGTAATCGTAGTGGTTTTCAATAAAACTAGTTTTTCACAAACTAATTAAATGAGCCAAGCTTATAATTGACTTAAATATAAATACATCCGTACCAAAAAATTATAATACAATAGTTTTTCTCAAACTTCTTCCTAAACCATAATTCTTTGTGACTAATTAATCTTAGGAGGAAGTCAGATCAGAGCAAATTATGCAACGATTATCACGTCAGTCTCATTTAGAAAGTCGTATTTCTGTACAATTAGAACAAATTAAACAAGAAAAATCAGTAATTTTGGAAAATCGTCTTGAACGAGAGCGACAATATGAAACTAGAAGAGAATTAGAGTTTCAATTAGCAATGGATCATGAAAGAGTAAGGTCAATTACAAATAAGATTATTTTAAAAGGATAAAATGAAGGCTCATAAAATGTTTTCCTTCCTGATATTTAATTTTATCCCGCACTTTTAAAAATTCATACTTTTTATGGTAAGTAGTTTTATAAGGTTTCATATAATTTGTGAGTAATAAGCATTGAAAACCAGGTAGCAGTGAACGGCTGTTTTACTTCCGTTTGAAACTAAATGGCAATATGTGCTTACTATCTTAGCCAGTAGGAATTCTTCAATCTGTGATGTTCTAATTAGCTGATATATTTGATCACCCCAAAAACCAGATTATGCAATATTAGGTTACTTGGTTTGAATATTATAGGGGCATTATTGTTAAGAATAAATGAATCGTGACTGTCAGGAATTATTTATAGACAATTATTACATATATTCTCATCGGATACCTAATAAGTAAGTAGATCATATTTCTTTTATCATAAGCTGCTGTTATACGATATACGATTCTTAATTTATTCCCAGTCTGTTAGTTACAGTCACCTATACGCACAGCCACTTTTGGCTTGATGCGATGTGGTCTGGTCTACTTGTATGGGAACTACATGTGTTTGAAATGTACTATTCACACAGCGGAGGCTGATATCTGCGTTTTTAACTGAACATGCAGGGCTAAGAGAGAAGCTGCTATACAGAGGACCAATAAAGATCCAGAGTTGACTCAAGGCTACTCGTGATGGTTAACGGATTATTGGTTTAGCACAGGGACAAGGACACAGAGGTCGGTATTTTGGTTTTGGAGATCTTATCATGTGATATTTGATGGGCCCATAGAACTTACTGATCATATTCATAAAAGTTAAGCAAACGCCTCGATATGTAGTATCAGACAGCGCGAATCCTAGATCAGACCTTCTTACCGATTGCTTCCAACTATCTGATAACTAAAATAATGCGATTTCTGTAAATCAATGTATTATTACACAAACAGAGAAAATAGTTAAGAACCCCTGGAAATAATGAATTAGTTCAAGTAGTCAGAAACTTCAGGATCAATTATAAAAGGAGAATCTATGAAACGGCTGAACAGAAATAACAAAGGTAATGAAAACATCAGTAACACTGGACAGCTGCAGAAAGGAAAATGATGACAAATTTTTGATGAAATAAAATGTTTATCACTAATGTTGGACAAGAAATAAATCCACTTATACTGCTGCGAATATCTTTACAGTGAGACCTGCAGTCTGGAGGTATTACCTACGGTCGCTTCACTAGTTTAAACAGAAAAGTTACAGTTTCTTCTGCAAATAAATGAGTTATCTGAGACTATATGGATTTCGGTAGTAGATATTAATGATAAATCAAGATAAGGTTACAAATTGCTTAGTATTTCTGAAAAGTTGTTATTTAATTTCTGCTGGACTAAACATTAATGTTGGTTACTTCGTCAAGATGGTCTGAAATCATGAATGGAAAATCACAAAAGGTCCTCTCGGCTTTACGTTAATGACCAAACCTACTCAATTGCTCACTTTTGTTGTTACCATATTCTACTGTCTCCCTCAAATTAACGGAAGGTCTATTAAGGAGTCAGCGCACTTTTCGGTTAATAATTTGTACCTGAAAAGGCCCCAAAAGCATTTGCATTAAACAAATGGGACACATTGTCTACTATTAAAAATAAAACTATATAGAATATATGTCTGTTGAACTGTCCCATCAATATATAATGTTGCGAAATACACGACACTATGAATAGAAAACTTATTATCAACAATATTGTTTGAGTTCACTAACATTATGTTTGTTGATTTTGAATTTTTATAATAGGAAATGCTGCTTCAACAAAAAAAGGAAGAAGAAGAGAAACTTACTATATTAAAACAATTTTGGTTTGAACAAAAAGCTAAACGACAACAAGCTTCTTATAAGCGTCATTATGAATTTATTCAAAATGATATCATACCATTATTACTACAATTTGTTATGAATGTTGCTGAATATCGGATGTTCACAGGGAAGTAAGTTTGAAAGGTAGACGTGTATAACTTAATTAATTAAGTCTTTTAAAAAACACATTTAAGATTTTATATATACTGAAAATTAAAAAAGGAATGAAAACAAGATTTTTTTTCAAACAATCAAGTTAAAATCTTAATTTTATGTTTCATGTCAAGATTTACAGATGAGCTGTAAACGCGCTTGATTGAAAAGATACTGAAAATCAGTGGTTTTTAATTTTAAGGATTAAGATTTTGAAGTGACCACAATATAAGTAGAGTTATGTTTCATTCAAGTCTGCTTTCTGAACACTACCGTTTAGGTAATCTCTTTTCCTATCTTCCTGTACTGCTGAAAAGTACATTACCTTGATAAAGGAAGATTTCCGTAAAATCCTACGTTATTTAGATGTAAATCAAATACATAATTATCACCTGAAGAACTACTGAAAACAATGGGAAAAAAATAGCTGTACCATCCTATTTGAGAATTCCTCAGGAGTCCTCTCAAAAATGAAATAAAAAACGTGAACTATTAGATTATGATTCACAGATCTAAATCTTTCATACCGTAAAATCTGAAAGCCATGGATATAGGAGTCCATCACTGAGGAGTATTAGACTGAAGTGAAAAGCTGTATAGCATTAACCTGATCCCAGATAATGAAGAAAATTCTCTCTAACTACTTAAATTGGAAGAAAAGTTTGATAGATTATTATTATAAACAAAAACATCTTCAGTGAATAAAAATATCAGCTCTAATAGGATCAGAGTTATGGTCTAAAATACTTTTTGACAAAAAGTGGATATCAATTTTACTGGCGTGGCTATAATTTATAGATGAATCAATCAGATTTAGGATAACAGATCTTGATTTTTGGCACGAAATTCAGTCATCCAATTGACAAAATAGCGTTTTGACATTTTGGCTGATGTCAGTTCGTGATAAAAACCCTAAATCGAATTGCTAACACTCACCATCAACTGTAAATCATAATTCTAATCCACCGCTCTGGCTTACAACTTTCATTTAATCCTCGTCAATAGGTGAACATTCTCAAGGTCAATTTAGCGTCGCTCAAAGGTTGTCCATAGATCATAGTCTCACCATCTTACTTCAATCTATTTTGAGTAAATTAAAAGACTGACAAAATAAGTAAACTTATATATATTGTAACTTACGAAATTTAAGTGCTTCTAATATGTGGCATGAAATAGAAGTTGCACTGTGTTACAATGTCTTTTGTTACCTCTATTGAATTCATTTCGCCACAGATTTTCTCCTACAGACGACATTTCGTCCTCCACCTTTTTAGAGGTCGATTTAGAACATGCAAATAACGACTATGAAAATGCTGACAAAAGTAGACTCCTGATCGCCTTGAACAACAATGTAAGCATATTTAGGACGCATTTTACTTCTGCAGTTGTAAGATATTGATTCAGGACTGGTCAGCGTTAATGCCTCAACCAATGTTAGGGAATGAAGTAGTTAAGTGTGATGATCACTTTGTGTATCCTCGAAGTCTTATCAGCTTTGATGAGTTGGTGTTTAAAGAAACCCCTATACGAATTCAGAAAGTTCTCTTAGATATAGCCAACATGCATCACTCGTGAAGTGTTCATCCGCAGTCTGCTCCTTTTTACTTTATGGCTATAAAATGTGGCCTTTAAAAATACTGGATATTCATAGGTTACAACTCTCTCCTAAGTGCCGCTCTCATATCGTGGAATGACCGAATTAACAATGCTGAGGTTAGTCCTGAAGTACTAAGTAAGGATGGCGAGTTAGCTGATGAGTTAATGAGTCTTCATCAAATCAGGTGGTCAAAATATGCATTCATATGACCAATCACCGTTTACCTCGTTGTCCTATGTTTTCTGGTGTAAAAGTGAGTTAGAATGAAGCTAGGGGCATCCTAAACGAAACGTAGCATCAGTTTATAAAATTAATGATTGTTAGTTTGAGCCATGCAGATGGGTTGAGACTACTTGGTTGGGATCCGCACGAGGATAGCAGTCAGCGGTTGGTAACACTGGATGGCACGGACAATAGTGTAAATACATTCCTTTTTAATCTTGCCATTCCATCATGTATGCCTTTTCGTCCCATCTTTTCGAATCGTGTTCTCAATATTTAATCTATCTCATCACGATTGGTATTAATATATTTAAATTCGTTTTCTGTTCATGTTGTTAGCTTTATCTCGTTGTGTTAATATGGTATGACAGCTTGGGTTAAATCACACTTGAGCCAAGCCCCATAATGATGATAACTGACTGACTGAATTACTTATCTAAACAATATATATTTTTTAATGTTTATTTTAAAGGCTGATTCCATTAAGACTTTTCCGCCAATGGAAAATCGAATTCGTAAACGGTCTGTTAGTGAACGACGCATCATCAACAGAGGATCAGACAGACGATCCTGTTGAAGAAGAAATGTCGAATGTGGCTAACCAACTTAAACTAAAAAAGAATCAGATTATAGAAGATCAACAAGAATTACTAGATGATTGTGATTTGGATGAGTATCAGGTAAATCAATAAATCTTAAACCATCGCTTTCCATTTTTTGTTTAAATGTATCTTTCTATCACTTTAAATTTTACTTGAATTAATTTCTCAATACTCTTTTCATTACGAACTGAAATTCATTGAAAAATAATTGAAAACTAGATAGCATTTAGTATCAACTTTGTTCTAGTTTGAATTTCATCATTAGTGCTCATCTATAATAACATACATACTGGAATTTATGACCACAGGGGTCATTGTAAATACAATACTTACTTCCTAGTTAACTGAAATACAGTGATCCGAGTTTCCAACGTCAGTCAGAGTATAAAATAGTTCAGTAACATTGAACTTCTCTAACCATGAATTTAAAAATCCATTTCGAATTTTCCCACAGTATTGATTAGCCCTTAACTTGAGCGAGGAATCATTTAGCGTTTCCTGGTTTTCCGTGGTTCTCTGGTTGCTATCAGCTAGTGGTAAAAACTGTATATGAATAGAACTAAGTTTAACAAAATAGTCAACTACGCAACATTCAAGATCCTATTAAAGTTGGACAGATCATTTTTTAAACGGTTGTATTCTCAAAAAAATTAAGACTCAGTAAACACTAAATTTCACTACTATTTTACTCAGACTGTTGTTGTTTTAAAAACAGTTCCCAAGAAAAAAAAAGGGAAAATTTGTATTAATTGCCTTGTTAAGAATTATCGAACATTTTTCAAATAAGTTTATGGAAAAGGTTTCCCAAAAAAATTAAGACGATATCTGAGATAAGTGAAACTTATTAAACATCAATTTTGAACATATACTAATACTAAATTCATGAAAGTTGGTTATCTTGTATATTACAGCGTTATGGTTGTGTCAAATCAGTATTATTGTGAACTGCTGGTGTTGATACAACAACGATCATTATTGTAACCTTCTATACCTCGACATTATTATAGCCCCTCGTGATTCACATCTACTCCTTTTAGTTACTGCGGCATGAACAGTGCTGAATATTTTGTGATATTTATGCACCAAAATTTTCCTATCTTGAGGCATAAAAGCGCTATTGAACATTCCATCTTTCTTCTTCTTACTTGCGTGAAGTATTCATTGTTGAGGTTTCGTTGTATCTAACACGTTTGGTTTATCTAGTCATGTTACATCTGTTTTATAATAAAAAATATCCAAACACCCCGGCTGAAATTGTATAAACCGTAACAACCAGTATTAGTACTATTGTTGCGTATTCTATTGTTTGTGATAACGTTTTAATGAGCATAAAAACTACACCGAATTTCTAATATTAGTAAGTTACCATAAACCTTAATACATTTTTGTCTCAATCCATGAAGAAAACAAGCACATGAAGTTCTTGAAATAATATCTTTCTATGCAAACTAAGAAGTCATTGTATTAGTTACAAAAAATGAAAGAAAATACCAACATCTAAATCCTACAAGAAACGGTCATATTTACATTTTAAATGTCCTTATCTACTTAAGTTTACTTTAATATCGGAGACACTTGTTAACTGAATGAATCCCATTCATATCTATCTATCTATCTATCTATCTATCTATCTATCTATCTATCCATTAAAATTAGCTGTGAATTGCGAACATCGTTAGTCAATTCGTTAATTTAACATTGTTATAGGTCAAATAAAACGTATCAGTATTTACAAGCGTCGCTAAACCAATTCCGAAGTCTATATAATGTTTAGTGTCATGGTAAATGGATTCAATGAAAAATCTGAAAATATAAAAATGGTTGTATTTATAAGATGTAAAACTAACTAGAACTTATCATTACATTCCATCAGCTGACTTAGCCACAAAATTGATACAAAATATTTAACATTGTACTCCTGGCTTTCTAATAATAAGTTAATTCTTGAAAACAAAGAAAACCGTTTAAAGCCAAAATCGGTTGATATTTACATTCAGTTACACGGTACACTATTTCATTCTCAAAATTATAACAAAAATCATATCACGGAATGATATCATACCAGAAAATGGTTTTAAACTTGTGTTAATAACAAAATCTAATTATACACAGAAATTATTAATAGTTGAATCTGTGTTAGGAATAAATCCATTTCTTTAAACAAGTCTTTCACTATGAATTCCAAACTAAGAACTACTTCAAAATTACTACATTCAAGATTCTGAAATAATTAAGAGTACTTGCTATGTAGATATAATATGGTATGATTATTGTTATTACTAATGGTATTGTTTTTGTTATAAGATATGTTTCTGATGATTCGTTGAGTCAAATGAAAGATATTCAAAATAAAAACGTTTTTTTAAAAATCAAACTAAATAAAAATGTACGCTGCTGTACAACTTACCAGTGGAGAAACATTTACATACTTTATATATATTTAAGTGTTACCTAATTGTGACGTTGTAATAGACTTAAGTCAACTAGAACAAAAGATAGTAAGACAAACGTAGTTCTAATTTCTAAAAAGTTTAATAAACATAAAATTCATGTGCTTTTTTTTAAAATACAAGACTATTAGTACATATATTATATTATAGAATCTTACTGGCGACTGGAATCTAGACAAAATTGGTACACTCTATATGAAATCATTGCCGAATGATTTAATTCCCCATGTACAAGGTAAACCAGTTGAATGGATTGACTTCAAAGATGAATGTAAAACAAGCGAATTCAAACTACCAAATGATATCAATCTAATAAAAACCAATCGAGTTTTAGAATGGATAATCAAACGTTTATATAAAATAAATTTTCCACCAACCGTGAGTACATTAGTGTACATTGATAAAATAACCATTTTTTTCAATTATTCATCATTTAATAAAGCATTTTTTTCAAAACATTTGCCTAGTTCAATGTTGGTTTTCGTCAAGAACTGTTATCAGTTGAAGGAGCACTATAAACTAGTGAGGGCTGAATAATAATGTGATTATATCTCATAAGTGCTCAACACTTACCCATTTACACGAGAAAATAAACAACATAATATTCCAGATCATTATTTTCAATGCTATAACTCCAATTTCCAAAAAAGTGATTCGTCAAAACCTAACAAGATAAATCTTAATAAATATCTCTTTTGAAACAAAAAAATTATTTTTTTTGTAAATTGAACACTCAATAACATTCTAAACATCTCTTGAAATAATGGTTAGTGATGACCAACCCAGTCTTTTTATCATTCTACATTTCTTGCTTCATTTTCAAATAAAATAAAACAAATTGTGACTGCAATGAAGTTAACATAAAAATAATAATAACTAATCAGCTTTCTGAATGTATATTTTAAGGCATAAAAAGCTGTCTTTTACATCTAGAAATAAATATAGGCAATAATTTAAAATTGAAATAAATATATCCATATAGGTTTTATGACTTTGAAGATTGTTTAATTTCTTAGTTTGGTATAGTTTAGAAAAGTAACATGCCAAGACAAACATTTTACAGTATCAATTGAATAAGATTATACTCACATACAATGTGTAACATCATATAACTCACTAATGAATGACAAGTTTATGTACTGCATTTAGGTGGAAGTTTATTGAAGAGTTCGTATAACTATTGGATGGAAGGCACTAGGCAGTAGGAATTTATGTTGACTCTTAGTAGTTTCAAAGGATTGACGTAATACACATAAACAACCTCCAATCGTCTATTTGCATCTTTTGGTATTTCCTCCGTTCTAAACAGTTTTCTCGTCTGGTCTCCAAGTGTTCTACCTACGCCGTATTAAAACTCTTCATTCCATTCGGCAACTTTGAGGTTAAGTTCAGAAACATACTACTAACAAGCAATGTTGTGAGTAGCGTCCACTACACTATCGGCTTTCAAACAAACAGCGCTTTCGCCTCGTAGTTTAAAGAAATTAGATCAATGTAGTATGTTCACTGGTAGAAACAGAGCAAACTCTGATGAAAAATAACCTTACGCAACTATAGACTGCTTAAACCGATGTCAGTCAAGCAAGTTATAAGTTAAAATTCTGATGTTTCTGCCAACTTCTTCAAGTTTTAATAATCAAAGATGATTGAACATCTCAGTGACACATCAGTAAGCTTTATCATATTATACTCCATCAAACACAATCTTGAGCTCGTACCAGATGCAAGATATTACCACGATTATCACCCAGTGAGTAATTTTCTTGTTTTTCAACCTGTTATCCATTTATTAGAAGTAACTGTGTTAAGAAGAACCTCATATATAACCAGGATGACTTTCAAATCATACTTTGTTCTCAGTTAAGTCATCACATTGCAATATAAAGTCAAATCATATAGAGTCTGTGACAGCTTATTTGCTATAGTGTAGCCTTTGTTTGGAATTCGAATATTTTTAAATGGAGATTGGAATGTAGTAAAACAAAGTTCATATAAATGGACCAAGCAACATAAGACTTTGTACGACACTGCAAAGATTCAAGTACTTCTGATTTCACACCATATAGTAGTAATAAAAAGCAATGAAAATATAAAGTGGGCAGAAAACTCATGCAGGAAAATAAAATCAAACGTCTTAATACTGACACTATGCAATCCCTATTTATTCGAAATCATGTCATTTTTGCCCTATGATTTGTAACTTTACCATCAAAATTTGTCGGCCTGCTGAAATATTTGGGCTACCTACTTTATTTTTGGGCGAATACATAGGTTAACCTTTCAGTTTTAAATTCATTTTAAGTGAATAGATATGGTTGGTAACTGTATACATTCACTCGCCAGTTGAAGGGAATTACGAATACCGGAAACTCAAACAGAAATGTTGCGGTTCTCTGAACATTTTCCTTTTTATTTATTTATCGTTTGACAGAATGAGAGACATAATGAAATTCAAAACCTTATACACAACAGATTCAAAAAAACAGTTGTAACAGCTGAGTTGGTAGAAAAATTTATTGATTGTGGGTAGCAGATATTGGCTGTTGAAAACATCTATAAAATCTACTTTCGATAATAATAATAATAACTTGAATGGATGATAAGCCGAAACCTATTCCAATATTTCATAATTAGTTTTGAGAATTACTGACTACAAAAAAATTCACATTTCAAATCTCTGTTATAAGTCACTATAGAACCTATTTAAAATGTGCTTATTTCATTAAAATTGTTTAGTGTTATTCTCTCACATTTTTTCTCTCTTTAATACAGACTGAATCAAATAAATCAGATTTACCTGAATTCCCTATTAAATTAGCACTACTTGGTAAACCTTTAAGTGGCAAAACAACTATAATAAGCCAGTTGGAAAAGAGTAATTGTCTTAACTTTTTTTTTAAATTTCAGTGAACCATTATTTAATATCCATAATAATAATATTTCTTGTTGAGTATACTAGTAGTTGATTACTTTTTGTCGTTGAAATAAACTTTAGTTAAGATGTTAATCAAAATATCGGGTACAAATAGTCACTAAATTGTATTAGGATGTTAAAAATTTACTTACTATGCTATAATATCCTTATCATTATAAATCCGTTTGGTTTTATGAAATGGTCAAATCATATATCATTTAGTTCGATACATTGATAATAGACCAATAAAATGGTAAGAAATTACAAGTGGAATTTAACATTTGATAGGGTTCATTTTCAGTTAATTTGGAAATATAGTGTTATGATTCACTTAATCTAACCAAAAGAGTGACAGTGTGACAATTATTGACATTCTCAGTTTTAAAGTAATCAATTTCTGCTAGTACATGAACTACCTACAGTCCTATTTAGGTTACATTTAAAAGTGGAAGCTATCGAGATCATGAAAACGAATCTCATTCTATTTCAGGTTTCGTTAGTTTGATAATAGCTAGATCTTAGTTGTCGTTGTTCTCACTGGAATATGTATCCAGTACACTAATACATTTAAGTGAATCGAATAGTCGGTATTGGCATAGGAGTTTAAGTATTTATTGCGATTCTGTCTAGATTGTTCAAATGATATTAATCATGAATCTTGACGATCAAACTTGGTTTAAATATCAACTAAAACAATAACAATTATAAATAAGTTCTTTCACTTTTCTTAGTATATTCATCTAGTTTGGTACTGGTCATTGTTCTAAGGAAAGAATATATTTCTGAGATGAATTATTTACCTTTTTTAACTGGATAAAGATGGTTTTTTACAGATCCTTATCATTATTTAACTGAACAGAAACTATGTAGTAATGAGTATGTGGTTAATTTCAATCCAAGATATTCTGGGGGTAATTAGCTGTTAACACTGTTGCATAGTCATGTCTATAGATATCTTATCTTATGTAATAATAAAAATAATAACAAAGAAAATGAAGTTAAAAAAACTACTGATCGCTGTATTCTGGCTTATTAAGTAAATGGTAACTGTTGTAGTCAGTGTTATTGAGTTCTGTGACATTCAAAAATGACGTGATACAGTTACTTAATTTTTTATGATTTCATTTAATACTTCAGTTTTGGAATAAAGACGTACTGGTTTCTTTAAATTACCAAAATACAATACTAAGCATTTAAAAGTCAATAAGTATATTTCCATTCCTCACACTTTAGTGCATTTTCAACTTATATGGTTGTCACTTCTAGATAATCGATGTGTTGGAATCAATCCATACAAACTTATAGAAGAGGCATTAAAAGCTTATGAAAATAAAGAAACTGACGAATGTTTCAATACACCCGTTGAAAGTCCTAAATTAGCTGGAACAGAAACCTCTCCAACAGTCACAGTACGTTAATTAATTTATCATGCTGTACAAGAATGTTTTTTTAAAGTAAACTGTAGTTACTAATTATGATAACAGTGTTTTTAATCATTTTCCCAAACAAGATTTATTCAGTTTTCAGTTAGGTCTCTTTTCATTTTTCCTTCATCAATCACTAGTCTTTACGTCATTTTTCGAATACAAACTAAGTATAACTCAAAGAAGTAAGTCGAAATAATGACTGATTCTAGTGCTGATTTTGTACGTATCGATCAATATTGTTTTTAAAATATGATTCAAAAATTTGAAATGAAACAATGAAGGTAATGATCATTTATTTCCCCAAACTAGTATCTTACAACTTCAAAAATAAGGAAACTGTGAGGAAAATCTATCTGAAAAATCCTAAACGTCGAATTCCATGTATAGGGTAATGATTTTGTTTTCTTTTTAGTATGTAAGATAATCAAAGGTACACACAACCATACTCCTTTGTTGTCAAACTTACAAGGGAAACAAATCATAGAGCTGATTTTAAAATTGTCTTTAAATCCTTATTTGATACCAATAGCTCTAGATTTTTAGGTTTATGGAAACCTTGTCAATCAGAAAGTTTATGACGTGTTGTATGCTTTCAAAAACAATTTGTGTTGGTAATGCTTAGTCCAGAGTGGTATATCAACCATGAATTCTTTCTGTTACATACCCTTCCGCTTCTTTGTGGTTCCGACCTTTATTCGTTTTCATATAAAAATTAAATGGGTTATCGGACTCTTTATAACATTTTCAGCTAATATAATACTTTTTCAAATCAATTTTGTCGTGTTATACTATTCAGATTTGCACAATGATAGGTCTTTTCCAACATTTACGACCTGTTATGTATACTAAAAACTTATTTATCTACCAAAAGGCTGTCTTAATATACATAAGTTCAGATGTTTGTTCTGGTATTATCTGGTAATTTATTTCATGTCATGCGTTCTTTATGACTAGATATAGAAAACGTAACTGCTAAACGCTCTTTTGACTTAAATTTTTCTACAATTTCTAACTTTTAATACTAATAATAACAATTCAAAGAAACCTTCACTTTCTAGTCTCTCAAAACAGTCTGATAATAGATTTAATATTTCAGCTGTCAGCTAAAGCGAAACTCGGTGAAATGTTATGGAACGAACTAAAAGTTGGAAAAGAAATCTCCGACGATCTTTTAGTTGATTTAGTATATGAAAAAGTTAAGTGAGTCAATTGATTGTGTTTATTTTCTTGACAAATTACACTATCTAATTGAAGTTTGTTTTAAAGGATATAGAGTTGGCATTAAAATAAATAATCCACTATACCTTCACTAAACTCCATTGCATAAGTAAACAAGCTATATAACTATACTTAACACAGTTATCAATGACATTTTTTATGAACTTTTAGGGTTTATCACATCACCGCCGTAGTAAATAATGAATGACTTTAAATAACTTGAAATGCTAAATAAATGTAATCTAAAAAGTTTTGGAGTTTCAGTAGTTCAGTTGTTTCCTTCTTGTGAACAGATTTTATTTTCTAGGTAAACCATACTTAGTTTAGATACCTTTGGCCAAGGCCTTACACTAGCATAAAAACTGTTGAAAACCGGAAAATACTAAACACTTGTCTCGTCCTAATTTGGGACTAGTTATCAATACATACCAAAGACCCCGTGTGTGATCGGAACGGCGATGATTAGTGCCCACTGTAAAAACGTTACATTTAAAACACCGACTCAAAATTCAATGAATCAGATCTCCAACTTTACTCAACCGGCAATATAACTTGATCATCATCCAACTTCATTAGTGATATCTGTTCCCACTAGCAACATTGTTAAACTGTTTCAGTAACAGCTTCTAACTAGAATTTAAGGGATTCTCCTAGAGGTTAGCCACTACTGAACTTGACTTATATTAAGTTAAAGAGCTTGTAGGATTATTTCAGCTGTGACACTTATTTATTTATTTCCATCGAAACAGAATAATTCACATTTTAATTCCTTACATTTTAGCAACAACTGACATTGTGCAATTTAGATGCTTCGTTGTACTTGAATTTTTTTATTGTTTATTAGAATATGTTTGTTCACTCAACTGACAATAATAACTCTTAACATATCACCATATATAATGTTATTGGAACTATTGTCAACACATTTTGCTATTCATGCCAGTGAACCTGCAGACTTTTAACTTTTCACAGCAATTTCTCTGCAACGACTTTTAGGCTGAAATAACAACCATGTGTGCAAAATGAATGACCCATAAAACCTTATATTATAATCTCCTGTGTTTTACGATAGATTTAATCACACTTCCTTATGAGTTGATATTTTGCATATAAATGTGTCTTTTACTGGAAAGAAGAAAATGTGTTTACCGGTTACATTAGTCGCTTTTTAATGTCGGGTGATTTAGGGAGTTTAAAGTGATATTCCGTCTCGTTATTCTCTCATTATGCTCAACCCATCACTCACCACTCTTCTAAACATTTTGAAAACCAAAATGAATTCATGAAAAACCTGAAAATCTCCTCCATGACGGCTGATAAGTGAGAAATTATTAATCAAAAGCGTTGGTATTGTACTCTATTAAAAGTGTATAAAATACAACGGATAAACTCTATGGACTTATGTTAACACACACAATATTTCAATTCGCATAATTCCAACGATTAACTACAACGATCTTACAACCTATCCAAAGCAAAATCTCGCAAATCTTACACCATCTACCATATTCAGTTATCCTGTAATTATTTTATTATATTTGTGAAATATCTATGTAAGATTTTTTTATTTTTACAATATTTTTGTCTTAATATTTTGTTTCTTTTCCCACCAAGAACTCTTCAGCCAACAAGTGGTTTTATACTAGATGGATTTCCAACAAATTATAATCAAGCTAAATTGCTGGAACAAAAATTAACCGGAAGCACTACATTAACGAATACCAACACATCAAACAACAATTCACTACTTCTAGACGTACAAAACTCAACAGATTCGAAATTTAAAAATGGTTTAGATTTGATTATTTTACTAGATATATCAGATGAATTAGTTTTAAAACGTATAGCACATACAACATTATCCAAAACAGCATTGAATGATTCTTTGACAAAATATACAACCGGTGAAGAAATACCATACGATAACCAAGTTGATATACGAACGAATACATCATCTAATCATATTCATACTATGAGTAATAATTCAGAAATGGACGAAAATAAGAATTCAACTTATTCCGATAATTTTAATTATTCTTCATATATTTTACAAGAAACACAGGGTAATATACCGGAACGGTTAGTTAATTTCATTCAGTCTTGGCCAAAATTGTATAAATTTTATCAAAAACAAATTTCAAATTTATGTGTTGTTCATTTAACAGATTTATTACATAATACAAAATTTTATCATTATGATTTAGAAAATAATGATGAATCGATGAAATTAGCTGTTTATTTAGAAATTGAAAGACAAATTGAAGAATTTATGAAACGTAAGGAAAACATCTCTTTGATTAAAACAAAGTCGGTTGAACAGATGGAATTCACTGGAAACGATCCAACCGTTGTAATAAATGTTGGTAAAAATACTGAAAAGGCGAATGATGATGATAAAGAGGCAGATAGTAGACGTACATTGTTTGCAAGTTCTACTATAGGATCAACTAATAATGATGATCAAAATGATCATAGTAATAAAGTAAGTCTTATTTCATAATAAAAATGAAGATAAAAGTGTTTTTAGTTCAGCTTTGAAATTCTTTTGAATACATCTTATCATTTAAAAGACTCGAGTTATTCTGAATGTGACTTAATTATTCAGGGTTCTAAGCTGCAAAGTACTATAAATGCAGAGATTTAAAAGGAGAATTTTATTTTAACTGAATTACATATCTAACACGAACAGCATGTTATAAAATAACCTGTTAGAGGTATTATGGTAGACCTGACTGGACTCATGTAGCGATTATTCCCTTTGTCATCCTATTTTATTTTCTCTAGTTATAGATGGTTATAGGGAATGGTCTTAATTACATCGTTTATACATTAACAAGATGTTTACTTAGAATTAAAAGTTCCCGGCCAACGCCTTTCATTGCTTTAATACGTGTGGAAAATGTACTACCTAAATAAATTTTGAACTAGAACCCTTCAAATAATCTAATATCCTCTATATCCTCAACACAATATTACTATCAATATCAAGCTCATCCTGTCTGTAAACTCATGAGTTTTGTAATTATTTTCAGAAAATATTATGTTGTTTATTACTATTCATTACATTCATTCATTTCGTTAAGATCCATAATTCTGATGCCTACTCAATGAGTCCTGATAGGTTGATTCTGAAATATATGTAAAGAATTCTTAATTTAAATACTAGAAGGACCATCGAAGAGTAAGTGGACTACCTTGATGACGATAAATAATCAGAACAACGTTCACTAGATTATAGATTCATATATTAAACAGAGATGAAGGTTAACAAATGATCATAAAGTCTTTGTTATACCCAGGATGCTGCACTTTCCAGTGTAAACAGATATAGAAAATGATGTATTACTCATACTAGTTATCCATGATTACAATTAAGAACAATTATCCGACACATGGCTGATAGTTAACCTCACATAATCTGACTCTTGAATTGTGTATTTACGTCATGATTTAATACAAATACTAGTCATCATTTCCATAAGATTAACGAATAAAAAAATACGAAACGTAATTTGTAACTATCGGATAAATTTATCTTTTGAGACCCTCAGTTGATATACCTTTAGGTATGTCATATTCATATATTTTGTTCTCTTTGTGTTTCATCAAAAGTTGAGTCACGTAACAGAATAGAGGATAGCTTACACAAAACAAATGGTTGATTATTCAAAATGATTCAGCGAGATTAAAACTTCGAAAAGTATCCAGTTAATCAGAGAAAGAGGATTGAAACGAACCTGTAAAATATAAAACAAATATGTAATTACTGCGATGACGGATGTATAAGCACTCTCAGTTAAGGTTCACTTAACCTCTATTTTCTTTTGAATGTAATACATCTATAAAAATAGACACCATTAGTTTTCTTGAGAATTCTCTCCCACTCAAAATCGTTGGTTGAGACAGCGATCTTATTTATAAAACTATACTCACATCAACTAGTGTCCGACAAAATTGTACATGTAATTTGTTCCATCAAACTGATGTACTTTTTAAACATTAGTAACCCGGAATCATGGTCTATAAAGGGCTTCCAATGCATACAAACATTTTGTCAACGCAACTTTGGGACAAACACTTGTTTCCGTTCCTCCATCTTTCACATTCTACTAAGCGCACTATTTTGAGATGGTGGAGATTTGTAGCTCAGGTGGAACAAAACTCCGTCAAAAGCGCAGTATTTAAATTTCTCTAAAATGAACCTATATAATGTTTGGTCAAATAGCCCAAATAAATAACTCTTCCTACCTTTGATAACACAACATTTCATAAGTGAAGTACAGACAATTTAATATAAATTCAGCTATAGAATTCATTCTTTACTGATTGACATCAAAGACACATTAACTTGACCACTCATGCTAGCACTACTGTTAAAGTTAGCCAGGGTTATCAGGTTTATTGCTTTTCTGCAATCTAACTTAAATATACCATCAATAAAATAACAGCTTAAATTTAATTCCATATTCCACATTTATGAGAAATAAAAATTATTGACTTGTTCACTTTCGTCATTTCCTTTTGTATCCATCATTTATTTTTACTCATTATAGAAATCAGATTTACAGGATTATAACATGAAAGACGACAAGTTGAAAGCTAGAAATGGTAGCACTAACTCACTGCGTTCGACTCAACGTCCTATAACAGCTAAAACTTCATCTAGTGGTAAAAACTCTACAACTTCTAGGCAAAGTAATCGTAGTAAAAAAGAGGGAAGTGCTGAAAGTCAAAGGAAAACAGGTGATTTATTAATCATAACTAGTCGATATATTTTTTACTTACTTTACAGATAAATTTTCAGTTAAAATGCTATTAACTTAAACTCATAAATAGATAGGTTTTTCTTTGTTTTGTTAATTGGGTTATTGACGATTGGGATATGAACGTGTTGGATAAGTGACATTAAATGTAAAATTATATCTGTAATCATAACCTTAGTGGTTGGAATTTGAATAGTTATAAAGTATCTATCACCAATTTGAACTGAGCTTCTTCAACGGGATCATCAGAATTTCCGAAAAAAATAAAGTGAGAAGCAATTCTGTTCTCTCATTAATATGTATAACAGAACAGACATGATAAAGATGAATGATCACTGAACTAGAGTAAATTTGTTATTTCTTAGTTCATGCATTTTTTGACGTTGCTATCATTCCAAAAACTTTTTATGTTGATTTGTTTTTATTAGGGGGAAGTAGATCTCAATCAGCAGGACGAAGTATTCAGAACTGCGATAATAAAGACAGACGAATAAATTCAAATGATCGTGACAAACAATTGGAATCAATTCAAAAAGATAAATCAAGAAGTCGCTCTGGCAGCGAAAAGAAACAATCAAAGAAAACAAAGTTGAAATCTACTGATTCACCTCAATCAGTTAAGAAAAATGATAAAGAACAAACGGTTACTTCACAGCCAGATTTACCACAACCTGGCGATGAAAATTATCAATTCGTCGAGTTGCCAGTTATGAACGTTAGTTTCACTTTTAAAATAAATGTTCATAGTAGTTTATGAATGTTATGTCTGGTCGTCGCAAATTGCTGCGCCCGAAAAACGCTGATCACTTATACTTGGGACGAGGGACCTCTGCAATTCCTACGACGAGAAAATAAGAACACAATGATAAAAGTGAAGATTTATTAGCCTCAAAACACTATGGTGACGACTACGATGATGATGATGATGATCTAGTAGAAAATACACTCATTTATATATTGATTGTACACCATTTTATTAATAGTTATGATGAGATCACATATATGAAAAATACTCAGAGTTATAACAAATCACATACTGATCATAGTCCATGTCAATGGAATACAATAATATCATATATTATACAAAATATAATAGCATAGGAGAAAAGAAAACCGAATACTACACTGAATGATCATCACATTGAATCAGAGAGGAAGTACTGTTGAACAAAGCTCATGTTTATTAAATCAATCAAATTTTGACTTTTGTTTCCATTATATCAATGAAGTTTTCCAGTCCTCAAGAAATCATTTAGCAATCGGGCGAAAATTCAATTTTATTAGACTCTTTACAAACCACGGCTCCCATCCTTTCACCGTCTGTGATAAACATTGAATTTTCATCACTTTGCGGTTTATGATGCTAATGACTTTTCTTTGTCTTTTTAAACTTGTTATCAAAACAGTTCACAAAACCAGCAACTTGGACAAAGTAATATCTGCACATACTCGTTGAAAACAAATTGACAATTTTATTAATATTTTTACTGAACATAACACTACATGATAGCGACAAGTCATAATTGCAAATAGTGATGATTCTGATGGACAAATAATGTAAACATTGAAGTGTTTGATAAACATTTAGTAGACGATTTCGCTTTAAGAAAGATTTCCTTCCTATAAAAATTAGATGTTGTTTTTACCTTCAGTTTTTTCCCAGTCTATTCTTTGAATTTTATTTGTTTTATTATTTTCTCCTACCAGAAATCTGCCCATATATTATGGGAATTATGGAATAGCACAGAAGCTATATACAATCAGAATTTGAAGTCGATTTTCCGCCAAATGCGTTATCTGAATTCAAACATTATACCACATATGCATCACATTAAACAACAGTTTTATAATTATTTATACAGACCTGATTCGAAACAACATTTCCTTAGCCAGTTCATTAGTGTAAGTTATATTTTAAAGACAGGTAACAGACCAATCACTGTCTGAGTCGCTTTTACCTTTTCAAACTATTTACAATTATTAATTATTGGTCCCCAGACTAGTTATCATCATCACTGATTGGTTAGTCTAAGATTACTGCAAAATATATACCATGAATCTGAAGGTTAAGAAACTGTCGCCTGAAATCTCCCGAATGCAATTGATCTAGCCGTTTCGAATTTGTTAACATATGCATCTATTACATTTGTCACATCAAAGTCTTATCTGTGTTGCTTTTAAAAATAATAATGATAGACATTTTAAAAGGATAAGTATATTATTTGAAAGCATGAGGTTCACAAACTATTTTAACTGAACATTTGTCACCGCAATGATAGTAATGTCAATAATAAGACATGACACTATTTTAAAGTACAACACTCCATCCATAATGAGTACCGTACCAGTCTTCAAAATCGTATTTTTCTTTCATAAGTGGTGTGTGGAAAACGTAGGAAAATGACATAACTGCAACTTCATAACCGATATGACCTATTGTTTAGGAATCAGTATTTTCTTAATAGAAACAGTAAGACGCCTTGTTTGTGAAGAGGGAAAATAAATAATGTAATGCAAGGCAGTTTTTGTTCACTTATGAGGTACATTCAATCATTTACAACTAAATAGAAGACAAAATCCGAGAGTACGAAACAGCAGCGACAAAATATTATTGTCATAGATCTCTTGCCATATATGTATAATAATGAATCTTAACATATCGATTTATGTAGATTTTGAAATCAATCAACTGTTCTGAACAAATCTTTACAGGAAAGAAGTAAATGATGTAAGTAGGGTAAGGTATGAGATTATTCAAGTGTAACTCCCATCTCTTCATAATCTAACCTTGTGGTTGAGGAAGGGCGTAAAACGTCAATCTAAAAGAAAGTTTTATGGGTATGTTCATCAATAACAGTCTCGAAAATTTCATTCTTTGGTTGTAATATAATTGTTGGTTTATGCACTAATAGGGCCGAATCATCAGAGAAAAACTCTCGATCTGCCATATAAACGATGGTAATGAAGCTCTTTCACTGAGACAATGTGACAGACTGTTCTAGATTCTCGAAATTTTACTTGCAAAGTTGAAATATATTCGATGAAGTATAAGCTACTACTTCCATAGAAGATCGAGTTCTAGATGAATGTATCTAGAATTATAGTCTAATATATATTCGTCTTTGACATTTCAAAGTGTAAACTGAAGCTAAACAGATTGTAATCTAAGTTTAACTTTAATGTGAACACTACCCAGAGCAAAGTTTCAGTTTTTAGCTTTGCACAATAAAATACGTGATCCATTGATGTGGTAGTTACTCATTAGACAGCTCAGGATTCGTGATGACTAAGATATCTGTGTTGTGACCTGGTCTGAAAGACAAATTTATGGGAATATCTGAGTTTCAAATCTACTACTTAACGAAACCCATGTGGCTCTATGCCTTTTATGGTGAATTTAAAATTAAGATAAGTGTCATCAAAGTAGACTCAACTACGCTTATCAGTTCTCATTATCGAATCCCATTTTAAATACCATAAGACGACCTTTCTAAGCTCAGTTCTGAAATCATTTTAAATATGGGTAAATATGTGAGCTGAAATTGAACTCGATACGTTGAGATCACTTTCACGCAGAAAGAATTTACTCTTTGGCAAAGTTATGCTCAGAAGTATTTACCAAAATACTTTGTGGATAGACCATCTTCATGTCATGGAATATGAATGAAATGACTGAAACCAATAAAAATCGGAAGAAGACTAACAAACTGAAACACTTTTTCATAAATTATGTAACCAGATGTAACATTCAGTATGTGGTAGATTCGTATCTACTCTGGTGGCATGTTGTTTTTAGCTAAGGTGCTAACAACGCCTGAATGTGAAAATCTTAAACAAAAGACAACGAAAGGAAACATGAGCCAACAACTGAGTAAGCTGACATAATTCCCTTGCACCTATGAGTGAGGAGAATCTTTAGCAATAAATAATGCAACAACGTCAATTCATAACTAGTAAATAGAAAAACGTAAAAATAGATTCACTTTGTTGTGTCTTACCAATAATGTTGATTACTGTTATTGGTATGGATATTGGTTATGCTTGCAAAATAACTGCTTTCTGCCACTTTTTTGACAGAATAAGACCAAAGTAGTTCAATGAAATGAGGGGAGCAAGACAGTTAAGTGAGGATTTATTTGTGAGGAAATGACTGATTTAAATGACATTCAAAATAATAGTGAAATATATCATTTTAAATGTTCAGTCAATAAACAAATCTTAATGCATTGAACTAATAACCATTCAGTTATTTAATGTGTAAACAACTTATAAAATCAGTGAGCTAAAGAGCTTTGAATCACACAATTAAATCACTGAGTTATATATATTATTCCTTCTTAACACGTTGACCTTTTAATTGAATCCGCTTGAGTAAGGTTTTCTGTGGGGAGGGTCAGCTTATCCTTTTTAATTCCTTGCTCTTTTCAAACTGCTGGATATAACGAGTAACACATGAATATATCCATTTTTCATCTCAATTTTCAATAGACATTTAATTCTCTGTTGAATGAAATGCGTTCAGATAAGGAGACCAAAGCTGATTTACATTGTCGAACAGATGATCTGCGTGATACTTTATATGAAATTATTGATGAAACAAAACAAGCTAATGAAGATCGTTTGAAAGTTTTGCTCGATATACCTGGTTGGTTTACAGATCAGCAAAGGTTGTTGATTAATTTATATTTATCATTATTTCAAATTGAATTAACACGTTTTCAAGAGAATGCACAATTAATAAAGGATTATTACAAGTAAGTTCTTGAATAAATTAATTTGATTAATTTCTGCGGTTTTTTCTAGAAGTTTCATATTCGGTGTATATTTTTGTAGACGATTCAAATTAACTAAACCCATTAACTTATATATGAATAGGAAAATGTAATAAAATACAACGGGTTCATTATTTTTAGCTATGTTGACATCTCTAACCCCCGTACTTTTTCAACAATTAGCATTGATCAAACATTAACTATACTTTAAAAATGCAATTCGTCTTTCGTCTACGAACTTATTTAGTAAAATAAAATATACTGTTACATAATATCCTTCTTTGTCGGGTAAATACTGACATTGTTGATTTCGAGAAGAAGCATTATTTGACGATTGCAAACGAGAACTTCTAAATATACTAAGAGGTGGTAGCAATTATTTCTCAAATCCTTGGATAAGATTCCCTAAAACAGCTTAGTTAATCAGTGTCTTTTTCAACTTCTTACTTATTTTAACACCTATTTAAAGACTAACTAGAATCCCTACCCACATCACAACTGTTTGACTAACCTTACTTTGAGTACAAGAACTAACATTTAGGTAAGGCCTCAGCTATGTTTTTTTCTTATTTTTACAAGATTCAAGTGGCTAAGAAAATTGGATCTCTATAAGTAGTTTTTGGAGTTGTTTTCATTAGCATTTGGTTCCCAAACGTAACCCTATCCATAAGTCTTTATCCATTTGCAAAAAATTGTCATTGAGGACCCTTTTGTAAAATGTCAAACTAGCATTAAATAACTACTAACATCAATAATTCTTTAACTTATATGATTCTAAAATTGCCTTAATTTTATTCAATTAAATTTCATTTACATTATCTCTACAACGTCTGAAACCTGATTGTCGAACAGCAGAAAATACGATTTTTATAATCAGCTTAAATGCAATTTTTTATAACTTAGTGACCCAGTAGATCGTAATGACACTCCAAAATGAAATAGATACAATTTCCAAAGGTAAAATTATATCAAGTGCCAGATCGTATGAGTATTAACATTAGTGAAAAAGGTATCGTTTTTTGGTTTCTTAAAGCAGTATATTGAACGGAAAGTGAATTCGTGTTATATTTTATTACTGAGATTTGTAATTATTAAATTACTTTATGGAACTGAAAGCAGTTTTGTGAGCCCGATTTAAGAACATACTTTTACAACCTCATGGCCATAAATTTACATTTCCATTAATAAAAAGAGATATTATTTTACAGGATAAGGTCTGGTACTTCCATTGTATATGAACTTCACGATAGCAAGAAATGAATTAATACTTTTTTAAAGCTATTAACCATCAAAACCCTCCTTTTTATGTCATAGATACATGATAAGCGTAAAAATAATATCACAAATACGACTATTGGTTTACACTTAAATGTTTCAGATATATAATTTGTAAATAATCCGAGTAAATGAGCTCAAAGTTCGTTTAGTTAGTGAAAATTAACTCAGTGTTTTATAATTCACAGTTAACAACAAATCTGTTACATATCAATTTCAGCGTAATGGAAGCTAGACCTCAAACAATTGAAAATGAATCTATTCAAGCTTTAGTGGGAACAATCGACGCAAGTCACATTGAATATACACGAATACCATTAATTAAAGTGAGTTTTTGCATATATATATATATATATATATATATATATATATATATATATATATATTGCTAGAAAATGATCTGTCAATGGCTGTTATCAACTGATGTTTTAAAAATAAGCTATCAACTTCAGTAGAAATATCTGTAAAATTAAGGAGGTATTAAGTGTTTGTTTTATTTTAGTTTTAGATTAGAACCTATGATCCTATGCAAGATCGAACTCTGAGCCACTAATCTTCACGTTCAACAAGACAACTATAAATCAAAATATTTTATTACACAAAAGTGTAACTTATCGCTAGTTTACACTCATTCACATACTTTTTATCAACAAACATCCTGGTAGAGGTTTATGTGTCAAACAACTTCGTGATTCCTTTCGTAATTAGAAGGGATACTATTATTTTTGTTGTTGATACTTTTGAAAGATTAACTATTTCTTGAAAGTCAGGAATAAAAAAAGTCCTTTACTTAGATCATTGGCAGCTTTATAAACACAGGTAGTTTCATTAATGTTATAGTTTAAAAGCTTTAATCTTTAAAAAGACTAGTAAACAATAAGAAAGAATTAAATGGGTGGTGTTTTAAGTAACTTTTATCGAACTGATGTTGGCAAACACCGAATAATGAGCTTTTTATGCGATAAACCAACATCTAGAATACTCCTATCAAAGCTCAAAAGACTTCATTCAATATCAAATTCAAGAAATTCAATGTTTCGTATGACTCATACCAAAAAATTATAAAACAGAATGTAAAAGCACTTAATTTCTATGGTTGAGATCATGAGTTAATTAAAGCTAGACCACCGTAGAAAACCTAGAAGCAATGGACGGCCGTTTCGTCCTATTGTGGGACTCCTCAGCAATGCACATCCACGATCCCGCCTCTCGAGATCCGAACCCATGACCTATCAGTACCGTGCGCAAGCGCTTAACCACTAGACCACTGAGCCGGCATACAACGGTGTTAGTGTCTAACTTCAACTAATCCACGAAATTGAGCAACACATCCACCATTGTCTTCAGTGATTTACTATCTCACAACCGACTCGGTTGAACTCCACTGGTCACTGCTTCTCACTAGAACTCCATGAAATACCTCTCGAAACTAGTCACTAGTGAGCACATGTTGTAATTTCTTCTTAATTCCCCGTTTCAAAACTTTTTCTACAAATTTTGTTTTGTGATTAAACTCCTCAGTCTTTTGCTTTGCTTGAAAAACAACAATAATTTCTTCATACATTATCAGTTTTATGTATTACATCGAAAATTTCATTCACTTTTTAGCTTCCTGATGAAACTGTAGAAGATGATGATAGTTCCGGATCGCGTAAAAGTACATCAACAAGACAAAATTCTTCAAGATCTAGTTCAAACAAATTGAATAAATCAAAACTAATGGATTCAGGCAACACTGTTTTGTCAAAATATTCAACTCCAATTGATACGAAATTTGAAATTTTACCTAGTGAATTTCGTAGTCAAATCAATTTATTGAATCAGAATTCATCATTACAAGAAATATTTGCAGCATTCAGTAAAAGTCAGTATACAACCTGTTTGTTGTTAATTTTAAAATAATTAAACTGCTCAATGCCTTATACATACAAAGTTACTGGGGATCTGTGTCGTCGTACTTTGGGACTTCTCAGCTGATATCAATAATGAGAAATATCTTCGAACTGGAAAACCGTACAAAAAACTGTCTGCCTAAATAATAATCATATTCTCACTTGTAAATAACTTTGGGCTGTTCTTAAGAAGCTTCTGTGGAACTAAATAATAACTGACTGGTATAGTTAAATACGGATTGCTCTGAATACTGAAATGAATAAAGCCAGACATGTGGACCAATTTATTTCGATTCATTGGCTCAGTATCAACATACTCGCCAGTGCCATTGTAACAGTCAGTGTAAATTTGCTAAAAAAGCCTCAACTCACTTAGTTCTTACATTCTTAATAGAATATGGTTTTGATGAACAAGAATGTCCTCGGTAACGTTTTAACTCATATGACCTCAGCTATTATCTGATTGTTTGCTTCAGCTCTTGAGTTGCTAATTTTATTGTCCCAAAGTCGTAGTTCTCGCATGTATTCTCTATTCAATCAAATGTGAATCATTTGTATTGAAGTACTATGAGAAATAGAGTGTGTAGATCCATCTCGTGTTATAAGGAATCTTCTAATAGTTCAGAATTCGAAATAGACGTAAGTCATCGCAGGTAAAACAGCTGTTTCTTAAATTCAACTTCGTTAAAATACCATGTACAAAATGAACTAACTCAGCGTGTAGATCACTTCATTCACAAAGGTTCATAATAACCCATCATAGACAAAACAGACTCACACATTTGTCGCCTTACGTTACCTGTTTAATCTGGTTTTCACATTTTAGCTCCAGCTTTTATTTGTTCAGATCTTGTATGAAACTGTGCACTACTTACCAATACTTGGTAGCTCATGATGTCAAACATTTTTACTTCTTTCATGTAACTCATGACAATTTTTATCTCAATAAACTAATTATCCTTACATACTTATATCTTAATGTTTGTAACCATTTTTATACTCGTAGTGATATTTCTTTACCTTCTAATTGTTTGCTTCCCCTTTAGCACCCTAAGCCTTGTAACTACCAACTATGAACTGTTGGCTTCTTTTCGAAACAGCTCTTAATTTCTGTTTCCCTCTTGACAAATCCATAAGATCTTTTCTCGTTTACAAAATATGTTGTAATTCTTATTCATCCATTTAAAAAATATAACTTCTATTTAACTACTATACTGACCACTGGGTAGGAAACCTCGAATATTTTCTATTTCTCTTATGGTCCATATGATGCTACAGTCTACTGTTTTAACGCAAGTACAGTGTGCGGTAGTTCACCGTACATTGCCACACAAATATAAAATAAGACCTCTAAATATAGTGTACCTTGATAGGGAGTCGGATTAATTTTCAAAGATGGTAGCCACCATGGACTGACGTTAGCTGAGAAACTTTTGAAAATCGGGGAACATTGTACACTCATTTCTTTCTAGTTTTTTATTATTTTATTCTTCTCCTCTCCTTAGTACAGATGGTTTACCTTTGATTAGTCAGACCATTTCAACCAATCCACCAAATCAAAAAGGGGCCAAACCTGGTGCTGTTAAAGCAAATTCAATTCAAGAAAAAGTGACCCTTTCAAATCCAATCAATCTTCTTTTAGACAAACCGACTCCATCTACAGACCCATCAATTCAATTCTTATATAATGTTTTTTTAGGTGTTATGCAAACTATTTTGAATCAGGTTAGCTGGGCATATATTTTCTTAATTAAGCACAAGTTCTTATGAGTAATTATCAAGTTAATGAAAAGTCATAATCATGATACGATTTTTAAAATATGAACATCCTTGTAATTTAAATTGATTAAACATTATAAATCAATGCTACTTATTACATATTTAAGTCGGATATCAATAATGATTTATGTGAAATACATTTCAAAATGAGATATATTTAAACGTGCAAAAAATATGTATTTCACCAATTTTTCTTTTCTTACACAATAACATCATTATTAATTTCTCGAGTATTTCGAAACAGTAGCCTAAGGAGTAATTATGCATAAACTTTATGAAAATCCAGGGAATAATTGCACATTCTAACAAGTGAATCATTTTTTATTTATCTGATTGTGATTGACAATAATCCCAACGTAGACGTTTAGCTGAAACTGGTTTTATTTGCAGATTATGTTTGTCGTAGATCGATTTTAGTTAATATGCTATTAGAAACCAGGGATTACTGGCCAGCCGCTTCGTTCTGATTTCACACGCCCCCATCAGTGTGCATCTGCTACCACACCAGAGATCTCACTCGGGACCTCCAGATCTCAGGGTGGATCACAAGTTGGTCGAACTTGTAATTTTACCTATGGATATCGACCTAAGTGCTCACAATGAAACCTGAAGGTCCTAGTTCGGCCCAGTGGCGGGGTGATAAGAAGTCCCATACTAGAACGAAACATCTATATATTACTCGTTGGTTCCAAACAATACGCCAAATAGGAACGATCTATAAAATACACAACCTACAAACCACCGAAGTGTTAAATCACCTGGTTTATAAAGGTTTTCGTTTATTTTGAAGGTGACTTTCACTATTAATTGACGTCACCGAAGAATCAATCAAAGCTAGGGATCAGGGAAATCCAAATCATCCTAGTTTCCAACCCTTCAGCAGTTAAGACCTCCGACCCAACAGAAAGTCGAACCTATTATGTTCAAATTATTATAGTAACTTATTGGGATTTACTTGGTAAATTTACAGCCCTTTAAGATTCATTCATCTAGCAGCCCGATACTGATCTTATAATTTTCTTGAGTTTTATCTAACAAGATATTTGATACTAAACATTGGTGAAAATAAGCAAAACATTTAATAAAATGCTAGTGGTATAGTTTTCACTTACGTTTGATGAAGGTTTATTTAAAGTCCAGTACTTATGAATGATGACCCCTTTAAAGATTCTGAAAAAGAAGACTTATGTTTTGCACTATTGCTCCAAAGAGCGAGAAAATCTACAAACAGTCTAATCGTTTGATTCAGTTGTTGGAAACAGAAAATTTACATTGAAAATTTTGACATTTGGCACGTAAATGTCTGAAGTTTGTAGATCTTTAGTTGTAAACTTAAATGGAGCTAGTTATCATCAAAATTCGACCACTCAACCGCCATCATAATCTTTGTCAATAATTCAGTCATTATTATGATCACTTTTGCTCTCCTGTATGAACTGAATAGTTGTGCAATATTCTTATTTTTCTCCATTTCATATTATCTACCTGAATGTTTACGGGTTACAAACCGTTCGAACATTTTATTATTTGCGAATCACATGTCAAAACTTTCTTTTTATTCTCAACCATATGAAAAATATTATAGGATGTATTCAACAACTTGAAGTATTAATTATCAAGGCCTATACCCCATTGGTTGACAAATTGAAGTTGATACACTAATTTCAATAACTTGAAAGACAATTAGCAAAGATCTCTGATAGCATCTAAACTATATTTAGGTGTCTGAATAATGTTGTAGTACATCTAACAATGAATATTCTCATCTAGAATACTGATGTGAATGTTTAAAAACTGTTTTTCGAGTATCATTATGAAGATATTTGAATCTTTAAATCACATTCTTTTTAAAGTTTGGTAACAATTTATTGCATCAACATGAACCTAAAGCGATTCATAACATTTCTTAACTGTTTTTAAACATAAGTCTTGAAAGTCATTTAATTTTCATCTTATCTGTTTGCTTACTGATTATCTTGTAAGTAACTAAGTTATCATAGTAGGCTTTAGAACCACACATGAAAAAAGTATTAAATATCATATTTTATAGTTTCACCTAACATGTATTCTTTCACTGTTCAAGGTACAAGCAGAACGGAAGTCTAGAGCAAGTGAAGCTATGTTGGATGGTTATACAGTGGAATTACTACTTAAGCCTACAGATACAAAAGGTGGCAAATTAAGTTCAGCAGATAAAAATAAAGGTGGGCAACCTCGTAAAGGACAAAGAAAATCGGTGGTACCTAAGGAAAAGGGATCTAAACCTGATGAACAAGCAACTACTCCAGGTCGTTTATTGCTTTAAAATTCACAGCAACTTTTTGATTATATATAGCTGCTATACATACATTACATACGCTTTATTATGAAAAGACATTACAAAGTGATTCTGATTAGTTTGAATAGTTAAACACCACAATATAAACCAAAATGGTTGACTAAACAGACCAGTGTTCCAACAAAAAAGATTTCTTCTCACTATTGAATGCTAGAAAGTAATGTCTACAACTCCTCAGCAGTGGACGCCCAGAACTCTATCTGAAATTAAATCTAGTATTCACTTGTGCCTTGAATTACATAATATCATCAGTCCGCTGTGTTGGTATCCAGTTAACTGCATTTCTAACTTGTTTTAACCTAACCAACACTGGTGTGACTACTTGTTATGACTGAGTATCAACTGATATTTCCTAGTGATGATAAGTGAAAATAGACTGATAGGCATCGACACAAGGAAGACTGTAAATGAAGATTTTCATATTCGCTAACAGTAGATTCACAACCGATCAAAACCTCATCAAAAACACACTGGATTTTGCAGAATTATTGTTTTCATGATTGACTATTTGCATTTGATGTATTAAATGAGAGAAAAAAATCAATAATTCTAATGCTCTATAATCTAATTAAATGGTTTTTAAGCCAATGAATAATAATTATATAGAGTCACCTTCAGTCCTCTACACCTTCCCCAGTCCTGTTTATGAAATTCATTACACTAATATTTAGAATTTTATCTACATTTTATGGATCAATCAAATTAATCATGTTTTTCAAATGAATGTTCAGGTTTACCAAGTACAGTATTCTTCGTTTTTTTTCTTTTCATTTAATAGAACTAACTGAAGAAGATCAAAAGGCTAGGGAAGTTAGACAACATATTAGAGAAGAACATATAGCTGCGCTAGAAAAGGAAGGTGAATATGTCACTAAAGAAATTTATAGACCAAAACACATATATGTTAGCTTACTATAATTTGTATGTCATAATTGTGCTATGATCACAGTGTTGATTTGTCGAAATACTAAAAAGATATTGATTGACACTGTTTGTGGAAAAGTGCGATATAACCGAGTGATAATTGCCCATGAAGCTAAATTCACTAATTTGTTCCATTTACTGACTAAGCATGACAGCCATCGTTGTGCGGTGGATGAGCGGTTTGACACTGAATGGAAAATCAACACCTTATTGTTGACACATTAACTAAACGAATCTTCATTTAAATTCAACTAACCAACATCGTCACTCTAGCATGTCAATCACATTATTGACTGTTAGATCGAAACCAGACATCAATTAGCTCAACAAAAATCACTCCTCGGTGATACCTTAGTGTAAACGTTGAGTACCAGAAAAGTCATATTCTCAACATTACTACAAACCTCTTAGATTTTATATCACGAACTTTTTTTATTTAGCCCACCACTTAAAACCTGATAAGACTGGATTGCTGTTTCGTTATAGCATGGGGCTCCACAGAAGTGCCCAACCACGACCTCGGATCCGGAAATCAGACTCAGGTCTTTCGGTTTAACCCACGAACCTATAACCTCTAGACCACTGAGTCAGCATCCAAAAATTTTTGAAATATTTTACAATATCACTACAGAGAACAATCAAATCAATTTGGTAAGATACTAGTGAGGAATAAACACTTTAGTATTCTCATGTTTTTCAATGTAATCTGCATCTTCGTCTGAAAATTGCTGCTAAAATGTCCATATCGTATGCTAATTTGTTAAATTTTTGACTATAAATGTGAATGATTGATAAAATTATCTACGTTCCGTGATTTTCTGTTGTTCCAGGCCAGCAAGATTTTCATCGACATTGTAGGACCTGGTACGAACGTGTGTCAGTCCATGTTTTTAAACTTCATATCAGTACGTCTAGTGAAGAAATTAAAAAGACGTAGTGTATGATAGAAATAATTGTAACTTCAACGAAAATCTGAGTAGAGATATGATTTAAAGGAACAAGCAAGATGAAATGATGAAAATTTAGGGATGAACACCAACCTTTGGTTCTGAAGAAAAGGGAATGAATGGAACAGCAACTAATTTTATTCTATGAAACCCAATACTGGTTGCGAAATTTGTGCGAGCCCTATCTAGTAAACCAACATCCACCAAAGTGGTCTAGATCGGTATGCAATTATTTCAATAATTGATCTCATTTTCTGACTTTCTGGCTAGCAAAACCCAAACTTCTGATTTCTAGGTGAATAGTTATATCTCATGATAAAATACTTTGTAGAAATTATAGCCATTTCTTTTTTAATCTCTTTTGATCTTGTAATTTCAAATAGCCGCTAAAACTGCGTTTCGTTTAACACTAATAAGGGCTCAAGGATCAGCCGTTCTATCAGATTTACAGGAAAAGTTTTCCCAGTTAAAGCAATTCATGACAGACTGTATTGGAATTAAAACACTTAAAGAACATGATGCGTAAGTTCAACACAGTATCGTTTTGCAACCAACTTTTTGTAATATCAAGACTTTATTCATAAAATAAAACTTTAAACAGACCATTAGACACACAAGCGGAAGGTTTACAAGAACTTGTGAAGGTGATTAAATTACCAATAAGAAATTGGTTTGAAGAAAGCCTAGGTTATGACTGAATTTGAATCGGCTGCTTCCTGGTTACTGACTCAGCGATTCAGTCACCAAATCTTATCTACATCCCTTACGTTTATGTTGTGAATATAATATGTGCATTGCATCGGATGATCATTACATGATGGTGTTATTCACCTGAATGTAAGCAATGCCATTAAACTATCAGATTTTGAGATGGTGGAGAAGGTTTGTAGCTGAGGTGGATGATTTTGATTGAGTTTTGTTCTCTGAGCTGCATGGTTTGGTCGTGGAGCTTTCATCGTTCTTCTGAACGATATCATCAGCACAAACTTCAGGCTAAAGTGAAATGTTCGAAATTCTCCGCATATGGATCACAGTTTGTCTTGTATTACAGGCTGTCAGATTAGCAACAATTTGAAAAGGTGATTATGATATATTCCGATACTATTATACTCATTCTGATGCTGTAACTTTGATTTTAACCTAAGTGATCATGACTTTAAACACTGTTAAAGCTAACATTCATCATGAAACAGTAGTGATAAAATCTTATTATGAAACAAATAACTTATTATTATATGCTTGCTTGGCTTCTATACACAAATAATGTATTGATATATTGTGGTACTTACACCAAATGACAACTAACTTGCACACAAATGGGCGCTTTACGCAAATTACAATACCCTCACATGCATCCACGGTGCTTGCCTTTCTTGTGTCGATAAGTTTTGTGGAGATCAGGAAATTTTTTCTGTTTATACTACATTGAATACTATTACCTATTCTAAATATATTACCCCGATCGTTTCCCTTAAAAGTTAATCTCCATGAACTATCCAAGTTAAAACTTCATTTAAAATCCGATCTTACTAATTACGATGTAACACATTTCAGTGTGAATAACGCACTTGAAGTTATTCGATATATGATTGAAAAAGAACAGAAACTTCCAGAAAAAATGATATTAGACGGTGAACAATTTTACATTGATGAAGTAAGCATTCTATTTTGCTTTCTTTTCATTACAATAGACTCTGTTTTCACTTTAATTAGAAATTTATCCAAACTCGTTCAATGACATCATTTGATCATGAACAGATTATTTCAACCGAGTTTAAATCGTATATTTGACTAGAAATATCCTGCAAAACGATTTTGAGTATCTTGTCTTAATTTCCTACGGTTAAAAGAAAATTATTATTTATTTGTTAGTTTTGCCGATGAATGACCAATACGTGAGCTTTGATTTCCAGCTAAAATCAGAACAACAAATTATAAATAATATATTTGTAATATCCCGATGAGTAGAAAAATTAGATTTTCTGACGTTTCGTGACTTAGTGTAAGTTACTTCCTCAGAGAATGAATAATATCTACCCAATGCTCAGTTTATTTGAAATTATCAAATCAAACCTTGGTAATGATACCTAAGAACAACAAATTGATAAGTTGACTTAAATTTATTGATATTTCTCATTTATGTGGAACAACTGAGTTATAACATTAAGGTAATGTGCAAGTTACTAAGTGGAGATGCCAGGACTGTTTCATGAAACTTTTAATCTTGAGACGGACACTGTAGATGTTATCTAAAATGACAGTAACGATAATGAGACTAAATAAATGAGCTCGGATAACTTTACACTGTCCAAATAATTTATATATAGCTTTTAAGCTATTCTTATAGGAATATAGACAAAATCAAATTCACTTTACTTATTGAATATACTACTGCAGTAAGTCCGAATCCGGTTTTTGAGATAAATTCACTTTATTTTTGTTTATGAATACTGTTTATGAATAAATATACATAGCTCCACAAGTTTACATCATTATATATAATAATTTATTCACTTACAGAGTGGTACTATTTCACCTATTTCTAATGATTCATTATTGATGGAAAAACTTCGAATTAACTCACCAGTTATAAATAAACCAACTGAATCCGAACCCCAATATTTTAATCTTAGTCAGTTAAAATATCTATATGATAAAGTAAGTCGTAACATATTTCTTTCACTTATTAAATCGAATGTTTTTTGTTAAAATATAGAATATTCACGCAGAATTTTCGAATGAAATTGACTAATCTGATGTTAGAAACATTATCTTTTGATTATGTCCTTGCTTGAACCAGCTATTTAAGTGGGAAAACCAAGGGTGAGTAGGAAATTTTTGTTAGATAGCAATTAAAAATATATGCACGGCTCATTCATAAATATATGTCCCACAGAAAATAAAGTAATGTTTCTAACTAAACGTATGTCTACGGAGTGTAAAATGCTGAGTTTAGGCATTGAATACCAAGTAAAAATAAAGTTCATTAATAAAATATTGAATAGCCATAGTCTGAGATGGTTGTGACACATGTTCTCAGCCACCGCCTACCTTGACGCATGATGTCCGCTGTTGTAGAAGTTGAAATAAAACTGGGAGCAACCAAAAAACGATATGACATCAATCCATCATTCATTGACTTTTAGAGTTCAGAATTGTATACCATGTCCTAGATACATTCGGGTCTTACCCCCCTTATTTCTGCAATCCCGAAATCTACTAATGACATTTCACTCTACTTTTCTTTTTTTCTTAATCCCTTCTACTACCACCAGCACTGTCGTTTATCCTGATAAAAGTGTGACAACTTGCACTGACGTACATTTGTTAAATTCTAAAAAATAAATCTAGGTTTTTGGATTCGACGGCACTGAACTCAGATGGGATGCGTCAGATTATTAATGATCGGATGAGTAGTAGCCGTTTGTACGTATTAGTAGTAGAATTAGTACTAATAGTAGTAATGAGAGGAGAAACGATGGTATCGTAGATACTGTATTATTGTGAGTTTTCATACTATTATGCGTAACAGTAATAGTGTGAGTTGTCGTTATTGTTGTCATTGTATTCTATGACTTTCATATAAACAAAATGTGTAAACAGACAGTTTATCTGTTTCGACCCATTTTATCAGCAGTGAAAAGTTGAAATAGACTATAGTTCACTTCTTTATCATTACTTTTGTATAAATCTTTGACAGATATGTTTCATCTCTGAAGCGTCACTTTTTATCCATCTCCCTCAATTAAAAGTATAATACCGGCTAATATTCACCCTTTTTTTAAAATGCAGAATACCGAGTGATAGGATGATGATATTTTAATAAATTTTGCTAATTACTTTACGATCTAAGCACTTATGATATTCTTAATTTTCTGCTTCTGTATTCCCTGTTTTAGTTTTCAACTCTTAGCCAAACAGGATTTATTGACATTGTTAATTTTCAAAGTATATTGAAACCAATACTTACAGAACGTTTTACTGAACTAACTGGCTCATGTTCTACTGACACATTGAATGAATTGTTAACATGTTTTGCTTATAAGTATCGTTTATTATTTGAAACAAATTCTGTGAAAAGCTCAACTACTACTGATTATAACGATTTGATTAAAGTAAACAATGTACATGAAAAACAAGTTTACTACATTGATTGGCGTCAATTTTTATTAGCGGCTTGCCAGCCAGCTATTACATATCATCATTCCACTGTAATTACGCAATCAAGTTTAGTGGAACTATCACAAAGACTCATGGAATTAGATCAATCAGCCAAACACGAAAATTTACTCAATGTAAAAGTTACTCGAGCTCAATTTCAATTTGCTTCATTTAAGTGGTTTCCAGTTGGAGTAAAGGTAACTATTTACAACTAATACGATATGCTTGATCAATGTATATAGTAAACGATTTTAAGGCCACTAGGTGAAGTAGTATCCAAAGGATTTGAAGTGGGGTTAACTATGAAATTTGTCAATTGTTTCTATATTTGCTTTCGGCAATGTTGAAAAATATCAACTGAAACATTAGTTGTGACACTATGGATACCCATATAACATGTTAAATTTATAAACAATTGGCGGTGCAATCCTAATCTTGAAAACTGTTGTGTATGAATAAAAAATTACTAAACTTATCATCTTGTACAGTCAAAATAAAACTCATTTTACAGGGGAACTCTATTTTACATAAAGTGAAGAGATACGGCTATACACAAGTCTTACTGACTACTGAAAAAGTCATATACGTCTAAAATAAAACATGAAATCCGTTTAGAAAATTTTTCAACAGCCTTTTACCCTCTAGTTTTTTTTAATCACATTCACTACATCAATGAAAAATGGCATACGACCCTAAGCAAGAAGTATTAGACTAATTCCATTTTGATCTTATATTGATTGTTTTTTTATCTAAACCTTCGTTAACCTTTCATTATATTTGTCTTAAAAATCTCATTCTCTTGTTTCTTGTATTTTACTTTAGCATTATGAAGAATTGCATGATTTCATATTCGGTATGTTCACAAAGAAAGTTATTCAATCAAGAATCAACGAAACGTATCCCAAGACTAATTCACAGAATACAGAAACCTATATCAACTCTCAAAATAACAAAACAGTGTCAATGGAAGAAGCAATCGATTGCTCAGATCTTTTACTAAATATATCACTTATTCAAGTAAAATCTCCTTATGTCGGCTTTCTACGTTGTTTATCAACAC